ATGTAGCCAGGAGGGTGGAATCTGTTAATAAAACAACGAGGGAAATGGAGCTGGGCAGTCTGAACAGATGATGTGTCCCACATCTCCCTTCTTCTGGGAACTGTTCCCTCCTCCCGCATCCAGAGGAGGGAAGACTGATCCCGCCCCTTTGCCACCCTGATTGTCAGATATGGGCATCTGCTGGTCCATGGGAATCCTCTCCCAGGAATTAAGAACTGGGGTTCGGAGATACCAGCTCAGTATGCAGCTTGCTTGTACTGAGGAGATGTTGAAGGAGCCATTTCTTCACCATCAGGATGGGAGGGCTGGGAAACAAAAAGAGCTGGGCTGCAAGACAAGAGGAAAAGGAAGCAGCAATTTACAGAGAGAAGCAGATGCAAAGGGCTGAGTGTTCTGATGGGATTTGTGTCCTGGTTCCAGTGATTCCTGGTGTCCAGCCACATCCCTGCTACCAGCTCTGTGCAACACCTCATATCCTGATAACCCCCCACTTTCCCTTAAGGAAGCTCAAATTTCACTTCTAATGCTTGCAATCAAAAGTATTCTAACAGGGGCCGGCCCGGTGGCGCAGCAGTTACGTGCGCACGTTCCGCTTCTCAGCGGCCCAGGGTTCTCCGGTTCGGATCCTGGGTGCGGACATGGCACCGCTTGGCAAAAGCCATGCTGTGGTAGGCATCCCACGTATAAAGTAGAAGAAGATGGGCATGTATGTTAGCTCAGGGCCAGTCTTCCTCAGCAAAAAGAGGAGGACTGGCAGTAGTTAGCTCAGGGCTAATCTTCCTCAAAAAAAAAAAAGTATTCTAACTGATACTCTATTTAATCCTAAAAAACAGTCACAACCCTGGTACCCTGACACACGGCACAGTGCCACGATTTAATGGGTGGGTTCTGTTGCCAGTTTTCCTCAATGAATCCGAGTTATGTCTCTTACTAACTCTGCGACATCAGACAAGTTACTTGACCTCTGTGTCAGTTTCCTCATCTGTAAAAGGAAGTGTTAATAGCACCTACATTACAGTGCTGGGAGAATTCTATATTTTAATCCTTGTAGAACCCAGTGCACGGCATATAAAAATCACTCAATAAACGATAGCAATTATTGATAGCGGAAGAGGGCAGTAGTGTCTGGGAGAAATTTTACCATCTCTTTAAAGATCCAAGAAGCAAAACAAGGGAGATAACTCCCCCCTCAACACGCATACTTTCTAGCCAGGAGTCATATTCCCAGGTGGTTAGACGTGTCATTTTGACCACTCCAGTGTCACTCCCAATACTTGGCCGCCAACACATAGAAGGGTTAACAGGGACTTCCTCTAAGAAAGTTGAACTTTCCTATAATGCTTGTATTGGGGTATAAGGATAACACCCATCTCAGACACTGTCATTATTAAAATATCAAATCTGAGTGTCAGCACACGTATGGAGTGGAGGACAAGACCTACATGTGATTTACTATGTTCAAAGAGATGCTTGCTAATGAGATTTTTCTGTAGTATCATACATAGGCAAATGCAACAATACTAAGGAGAACGGAGAAAAGCCAAATGTCAGGCAACATATGGTTGTAAGGGAGCATCATTACTGTCACGAAAAACCACATTTGGAGGGATCATCAGTGTCTGAAAACCTGTGTTGGTTGGTTTCTTGGCTACCCTTTGGTTCTACCAGGTAATAGGTTTGTACAGCAGACAGTTAACACAGCCACACGGTTAACTTAGTTTACTCTCACCTTTAGTGATCAGATTTTGGCAAGAGCTGAAAAGGAGTGGAAATAATTAAAAATCACGGGGCTGGCCTGGTGGCGTAGCTGTTAAGTTCACACATTCCACTTCGACGGGCCTGGGGTTCACCAGTTTGGATCCTGGGTGCAGACACGGCACCACTTGGCAGGCCATGCTGTGGTAGGCGTCTTATATATAAAGTAGAGGAAGATGGGCATGGATGTTGGCTCAGGGTCAGTCTTCCTCAGCAAAAAGAGGAGGATTGGCAGCAGATGTTAGCTCAGGGCTAATCTTCCTCAAAAAAAAAAAAAGAATTAAAGATCAAGAGCAATTTTTTAAAAAGAAGAAATCGTATTTTAGAAAGGAATAAAAGCAAGAGAAAAAAAGAACAGAAGAAAATCTGTTGGCACTGCCTTCTGGCCGGCCCTCTTTTACTTTACATTCCTTACACTCATAGATGCGGATCTCCCTTGCCAAAGAGTGACCTCCTTGAGGTCCGGATCTGAGCCTGGGCTATCGTTGTCTCCCACGGGGAGCTCACCCCTGAGCCTGATCCACTCTAGGACCAGACTGTTCCCATCTGACTGAAAGATGGAGGAAATCAGGAAGACCAAAAGGAAAGGACAAGAGCAAACAAGACAATTATCTGAAAGTGAGTCTTGAATTTCTCAGAACTGGAGCATCTCTAGAGGATCTCCCAGACGGGATGCGGAGGCACTGATGGTTAAGGCGAAAATCTCCTGGAACGTTTTAGCAGTGGAAATGCTGTTAGGTTAAATCTGTTCATACTTTGCTTTAGTGAGACTGGATTTTCCACAAAGAAAGTTCTTGGACAGGCAATGCCTCTTCCACTCTTCTGTGAGCAAATTTGCACTGCTTAACACACTGCTGCAGGAATCTTGGGATATTTTATATTTCTCTTACATCCCTTATAGGCAGTCAGAATCCATTTCTGGAACATAGATGTTGTTTTCCAGCAAAGCATGCTGAATCCTTTAGACATTCATTATTTCCCAGAACAAAAAGAAAAACTGTTCTCTTAAGATCCATAATCTGTTTCCAGAATATTCAGACAATCTCATTTCTTCCTCCTTCCTATTACTCATCCCCCCTCCAGCCACTCCCATCAAGGTCCTGGGAACACACCTGAGGCCTTCACATCACTGACTTTGCTCTTCACCGGGATGCCCTGCCTATTGGCTAATTTAAGAATTAATTACATATCATTTCAAATTATTCTCTGTTTTACATATTCTAGTCAAGCCAAACTGCAACGTCAGCTGAAATAGAGACAGAGCAGTGGAGGGCAATGGTTACGGGCACAGACGCTAGAGTCAAACTGTCTGTGTTTGAACCTAGGTCTTGCCACTAACTAGCGAGGTGTCCTCAGATAAGTAACTTAACCTCTCCGTGCAGGAGGGAGATCTGACCTAGCCGTGAAAGTCTGTTATCTGAAGGTTGTGAGGCAGTGACAGTCGAGCTGAGCATTAAATCATAGGAATTAACTTGGAGAAGTCAGAAGGGAAGGGTGTACCCAAGAGAAGCACAGTAAATCCAAAAGCCTTGCTATGGGAGGGAGCATGGTGCACAGAAGGGAGTAAGAGGGCCCAGTGGGGCGCAGTGCGCACCAGATAAAGCTGGTGAGTTAGGGAGAGGGCAGAATTTAGCAGAGTTTAGTATCCATAGCTTAGAAACTATATTCCCTATTCACTCAACAAATTTTGCTTACGAGGAGCCACCAACACGCTTATTTTACATAAATTGGATTCATTCCATATGCTGCTTTTATTAGGAATATTTTTTGAGCAATAAATATACAGTTATTAAACCTATCTCTTATTGTTGGATCTACAGATTACTTCCAACTTTCCACTATTATTAAAAATAGCATGACCAACTTTTTTTATCTGGACATTTGTTCAAATATTTCTTGGCATAAATCCCTACAAGAGGAATTGCTAGTTCTGAAAATTCATTAACATATTTTAATCATAACTTGTCTGGGAAATTAGCATGTTGAATGGTCAAGGTTTGATGCTATATGAGGCTACAGTCTTTTGAGATTGGTACCACCATCAAATTTGGAGGCACTCTTGTTGTGCCTACTCTAAGAACCTACTTCTCAATTGTCTTCACCGTGTGAGGAATTCCCTTCTATTTCTGATCCCCATGAGTCCTTTCCACAAATTCAGATCACACCATACTGACGGCCAACGAAATATCTGTAACCTCAGCTCTAGACGCCTGGCTGTCCCACTCCGGGGCTCCATAGGAGAGGAAAGGCTTTCCTAACTGTCTCTGAAGGATCTCCCTCTGGTCTGAGACACACTATTAAAGAAGGCAGTTTCTGACATTCCTTTTCTCTCCTCTGGCCTCCTACTTTGTCCAGTTCCATTTTCCTGCAGTAAATTCACTAACTTGTCAAAGGCAGATGGAGCTCAGATGATTCTATAACAGATTGTGGTTTTCCCTTCCGCTGAGTTGACAAACGCCATCTTCTCCGGAGTCTGCATCTTCCATGGACTCCTTTCAACATCTACTGTCCTTTTCCTCTTTCAAAGTCCTGTGTGTATCCCCACCCCTAGATTACTTTCCAAGGACCCACTTACTGTGAGATCACAGATAATTTCTAGGCTTCTAATGATTAACATGGCCAATCTCTTCCCTTCTTTCTCAGCTGTTCTTTGCATTCCATTTCTTCATTGCAAAAAACCTGTTTCCAAGGTCAGTGGGTCGCTCTTGCTAAAGCGGCCAGACTCCGGGTCGACCTAGGAAGGATACCTGGTGTCCAGGTAAAGTTAGGCTCATCGTGTGCCAGGCACAGTGCTAACTGCCTTACATAGGTTATGCCTTTTCGTCCTCACGGCAACCCCGTGGGGTACGTATCATCACGGTCCTCATTTTACAGATTAGGAAACTGAGGCTTAGGGAGGTTGTCACTCATCTACGATCACACGGTTACAATGTGGGGATGGACCCCACTTCTGCTTGCAAAGAGAGATGAAGAAAAGGGAGGCAGGCCAAGAAAGAAAATATAAAATGAGGTAGAGCAGAGCCGGAAAGGCAAGCAGGCGGGCGGAAGCGGCCCCTTTCCTGTCTCCTTCCCGCCCTGGGCTGAGCCTCCAGCGCGGCCCGAACGCCTCCCAGCGGCCGCCTCTCTGCCCCGCGAGTTTCCGGCCTCGGGAGGGCGTCATTAGCGAGCGCCCTCCGTTGGCGCCGGCCTCGTGCGTGCGTGGGCGCAAGACGTCGGCGAGGAGGCGGGCCTTCCGGTCCTCACGAAAGTCATTTCCGGCGGGAGCCGGAAGGCCGTCCCGGATGGCCTCGGGGGCGGCCTGTGCGTGGAGCTGAGTGTTGAAGCTGCCGGCCCGCGCCCGCCGGTAGCCTCATGCCGCGGGCCGCGGCCGCCAGCCTCCGCTCGGATTGGTGGCGCTAAGGCGCCGGGGCAGCGCGCGACATGTCGTCGGGCCTCCGCGCCGCCGACTTTCCCCGCTGGAAGCGCCACATCGCGGAGGAGCTGAGGCGGCGGGACCGGCTGCAGAGGCAGGCGTTCGAAGAGATCATCCTGCAGTGTGAGCAGCTGGCGGGCGGTCGGGCAGAAGCACGCGGGGCACCGGCGGGAACCCGGGGCCGAGCCCCGCGCTGCCCCGGCGCCCCACCCCTTTTCACATCTTTTCCTCTTCTCTTCACTTTGTCTTTGGGGTGACCGCAGAGGGTTTCCTTTTCTGAGCTGTGTGTTCTTCTCTGGCGGGCACCGCTCATGCTTCTGTTTGTAAATCCCAGCAGCTCGCACAGTGCTGATGCACTTAAATGGGCAGGTTCCAGAAACGTCCCGTTGCGCGCATCGTGTTACTGAAACAGGCGCTGATTTTAAGCATCGACTCGCGCGGTTAACGTCGTGCTCTGAGTGTAATGAAACGTTCGGCCTTGATTTCCTCAGACCTCTCGTCCTAACTCCACCTTGGCGTTCTTTGACTGTTAGACATGTGACTCTTAACACCCTTTTTTAGTAGGGACGTGATAGTCTTTACTGTTACTGAAAACTTCTATATGAAAGAGATGGTGCCCCCCCCCATTCCCGGTGCAATTTGGGTACAAAAACGTTTGTACCCTTGGATACGTCTTAGCATTTCCTTGCCGCTCCCCCCAATCTTACCGTAGGTCATGACCCATTTGGGGGCAGAAACGGGTACTCTTCGGTCCTATGGTTCCATCTACCCCTTGAAGTAAGCCTAACAAGTCTCTTACGTTATGTTGATGATGGGATTCACAGTCATAGGTTGCCTTTATTGAATTCAGATTGTGCTAAATCAGTGGTTCCCAAATTTAGCTGCACCTTAGAATCACGTGGGAATCTTTTAAAAATTAAGCCCGGACCAACTAAATCGCAGCATATGGGCTGGAACACAGGTGTCAGTATTTTTTTGATGCTCCCCGGGTAATTCTAATGTGCAGACAAGTTTGAGTGCTGTGGCAAATATTTGGCATGTGCTTTTCACTTTATGTTCTCGAAAATTCTATGAAGTAGGTCCTGTTGTTGCCGTTTTCACACATGAGGAAACCAAGGCTGAGAGAGATTAGTAGGTTCTCTAGGGAGGCACAGCAGGTTAATGGTGGGGCCTGGATTTGAACGCAGACTTAATGGCTCCTAACTTGGGCATTTGGTATCTACTTTTCTCACTGGGTCCCCCCGGGAAATGTCCTTTCCTTGCTTTTCGCTGAGCCCGTTCTCTTAACAAAGATAGTAAGAAAGGGGGACGATGCTCCGCTGTTGTGCTCATTCCTTATACTCTAAGAGGCCCTGGCAGACAAGTGCTCTTTCAGAAAGCCAGAAGCATAAGAAACCTCTCTTGCTCAATCGTGATGCTCTCATAGGTTGTGTACACTCAGGTCATCAGGTGTTTATTAAATGCCTGTTCTTTAAAAGCTGGTGCACATTGCAAGGCAAATTGGGCTGAAGGTGTGCTTCCACTCACTCCTTTATTAATTCTTTCACTTACTTTCTGAGTCTGATTTGCTGCATCTATAAAATGGGGGTGAAACCTGCCCTACCTGCTTCATAAAAATAGTGTGTGAGTGCTTTCAAAGCCATCTCTGTACTTGTCTATAAACGGAAGGCGTTTGTAATTGCATTGACACAAGTGGAATGGTGTTTCTGCATTGAAAATGGACATATTGATGGGGTGGGAGGATGCAGGAGAAAAGTGGGGAGCAATGGATCCTAGAGAGGGAACACATCTTCAAATAGCTTTAAAAGGCGATTAGTGTGTGCTTGAGGGGCTAGGAGAGGAGACTGAGTGACAGCCAGTTACGGGGGCAGGAGAGTAAGACAACTTCTGCCTGTTAAAATCTCTTTAGGCTGGGGATTGACAATAGAGAGATCACTTCAAAGTTTGACTGTGGAACACCCCCACTCCTCGTTCCAGCCTTCCCAGGCCAGTCACGCTCTGACCCTCATTCAACCCAGTGTTTCCTGTGCAGTTCCTGCCTGTCAGCCTGAAGAGAGGCTGTGGGGACAGGAGTGGCTTCCCTCGGTCTCCATTCTTCTTCTTAGTGAGAAGAACTAGTAGGAAGGATCCCTCTTGAATACCTCGTGTCTTTTAAGAGACCTAATGTAATCCTAGGGCACCCAGCTCTGGTGTAACATTTTGAAGATCTTATTAGAATTCTTTGACACTGGTGAATATCCAAGATTGAAACCACTTCCCTGTTCTGCTGGGCTAATTCATTAAATTAATAGAGATGAAGAGAGTCGTTCTATTTCTGCCCAGGAGTTCCGTTTTCAGATATCAAGGAGAAGTAGGACTCAAGAGGGTCCTACTTTAAGAGGAAAGATATGGGCCGCCCCGTGGCCAAGTAGTTAAGTTTGCGCACTCCGCTCCTGCGGCCTGGGGTTTCACTGGTTCGGATCCTGGGCGCGGACATGTCGCCGCTCATCGGGCCATGCTGGGGTGGCGTCCCTCATGCCACAGCTAGAAGGACCCACAGCTAAAAATATACAACTATGTACTGGGGGCTTTGGGGATAAAAAGGAAAAATAAAATCTTTTAAAAAAAAAAAAAAAAGAGAAAAGATAAGCTCCTCTAACAAGAGTAGTCACTGGCATAACCCTATCAAAATTTTGTTCTAGAGCAGTTCTAATCTCAGACTTTTGGGAGATGTGACACCCCCATCAGGTGTAGCCTTTCTGCAAGTTTCCCATGGTTGCTTTCTTGTTCTCCTTAGCGTAACTCCCATCCACATCTGACCTGCTGGCCCCCTGTGTGCCTGTCATTCTTACATGTCATTTCTAGCAAGAATTGGAATTCACATTTATCACATTCAGAAAGAGAACTCATTTTCTTCCTTACGCTGTCCACTCTTGTTGTTCTCTGACAACCTTGGCATCTTCTGCCCAGTTGCCTGAGTAAGAAACCTCAGAATGATCTTTGACTTTTTTGTTTTGTGTGAGGAAGATTGGCCCTGAGCTAACACCTCTTGCCAGTCTTCCTCTCCTTTGTGTGTGGGATGCCGCTGCAGCATGGCCTGATGAGCCACGTGTAGCTGCGCACCTGGAATCTGAAGCTGCAAACCCTGGGCCACTGAAGCAGGAGCGTACCAACTTAACCGTTACACAGCCCGATGTTTGACTTCTTACTAATAAATACCTGTTCATGTCACTGCCTGCTTGTCAAATCTCTTATTTCCCCATTGCCAGTGAGAAAAGGTCTGAATTTCTCATCCTGCCCGTGCGTGTGTTGGCTCCAACGTTTCTTTCTGGCCATTTAGACAACTCTTCTAGTCTTGCCTGGACTGTCATCTTCCCTTGTGAAACCATCCGAGAAATTGAGCTCCTTGAGGTCAGGGCCTCTCGTTCCTATTTGTATCCCTAGTGCCCTGATCTAAAAATTAAATTTTCCAAATGTAGGGGCTGGCCCCATGGCCGAGTGGTTGGGTTCACATGCTCTGCTTAGGCGGCCGAGGGTTTCACCGGTTCGAATCCTAGACGCGGACATGGCACCACTCATCAGGCCATGCTGGGGCAGTATCCCGCATGCCGCAACTGGATGGATGCACAACTAAAAATACACAACTATGTACCGGGGGGCTTTGGGATAGAAAGGAAAAATTTTTTAAAAATTTCCAAATGTAATAATAAGGTAAAGTTCTCGTATTACTGAGAGGTGCATAGCATTTCATGTTTACATTGTGTTTTGCTATGTTTTTTACTTTTTCCTCCTGGGGTACAAATAGGTGACTGGGAGTAGAAAGCATGTTTGACTGCCTTTAATAGGGGGACATTCTTGCAGGGGTATTCCCACAGGTTCCTTTGGCAGGGCTGCCCATGCCTAGTCTGGGGTATATCCAAGGAGTGTGCGTGTCTGCATTTTGGACGATTGCTACAATCGGTGACAAAGTGCAGTACATGATACTTTGACACCTAATAAAAGTGAAAACTACCCAGTCATCTTCTGGTTATTTTTTAGTCTGAATCTTTATAAGATAGTAAACATAAAGTGTACATAGGTTATAATAAATTACTTGATTTTTTTTTTTTTTTAGATAACAAGTTGCTGGAGAAGTCAGATCTTCATTCAGTGCTGGCCCATAAGCTACAAGCTGACAAGCATGACACACCAAACAGGCATGAGATAAGGTATTTTGAAACTATCCTGTCTTGCTTGTATCTCCTCCTTAATTGAAATTTGTCTCGGTTCACTTACCACTTCTCTAACTCAGAAGCAAACCAGGTTCTGTTTCTGTGCTCCAGTTTCTGTCAGCTTCTTTCAAATAAGAACTGCTGAAGCCAAGTAACTAAAATGGTTTTTCTGAAGGTCCCTGCCCACCCAGAAGGCTGATCGTAATGCTGTAAGATTGAGAAGCTGCTTTAGGTGGGTAACTAGGCCACTTCCTCCTCTGGCCTACCAGAGTTCACTTTTTCGAAATAATCAGACAAGTAAGCATTCTTAAGCAGATTTACATGGATCTTGTTAATGCAGGATTGATTGACTCAGAAACATGAATTGGTTTTTATACAAGATAGGTCTGTAGTTCAGTTTTTCAACATATTTTAGTAGATTGTGAAATCAGACTAGCAGGTTGCAAGAAGCTTTTTTTGTTAAGAACAGGAAAAATCTGCATTGTAATAGGAAGGGTATTGTTTCATTAAATATGCACCTATGTGTTTGTGATAGAGAGTTTGCTGTATTTACTTGGGCTCTTCTTGTAAACTGTATTTTTTTTTTGAGGGTCAGGATTCAAAAAATCTGAAGGCCAGACTTCATCAAAACAGCTTAAATGGAGTCACTCTAGAGTCTTACTGCCCTCTTTTTCTGTATGTTCATCGTGTTTGCACGTTAAATTGGATGGTTTGTATGGGAACGGTACCCATTATTGCTCTAAAATCTACCTAGGTGTATTGCATATCAGTTAACATTTAGCAATTGTGAAAATAAAGTTGATAGTAATTTAGGGTTTTTTTTTTTTTTTTTTAAAAACCCAGAAATGCTAGGGATAGCGCGGTGTGTTTATTCCTGTAGCTGAATCTGCCGTATAAGCACCTGCCGTCCATGTTTCCTCATCTGCTGAGGACATCTCCTGGCAGACCAGAGTGGGAAAGACGGATGGAGGGCCCGGCCCAGGTTCTGTCCCTGCTTCGTAACAACACAGGAGACCGTGCCTGGCTGTGTCTCTGAGAGGTCTTCCGTAGTATTGAAAATAGTAGTTGTAGTGTTTGGTCAATTTTAGGTGTAGAGAGTGCCATTTTACCTTTTTCATCTAAATTCAATCAATTGGAAACTTAAAACATTTTACTTCTATCTGGTTAGACTCTCGGTGACTATTCCTGTATCTTATATCTGACAGTTCCTTTGACTGGACATCACTGGGGTGATAAGAGCTCCTTAGTTGGGGGTCCTTCCTTTCCTGCACACTTGTGTCCACAGTCAGGCCTCTCCTCCTGACTGCCTTGTTTCTATTAATGGGATCCGTATTTTCCACAAGTCATCGATGATTCCTTTTTCCCTCAGTATCCTCCCCCTGCCCACACGCAGTCGGTCACCCAGGCCCGTTGCTGCTTTGCCCACAGTCTCCTGTGCATCTGTCTCTTAGTTTACGTTAATTTTGCCACCCCCTTGGTTTATTATCTATGTGTTCATCCCTGGACTGTGGCAGGCAGGAGTCTTGTCCACTCAGACATTTGGTGACTGCAGTGTGAGCTGTGCATTAAGGCTGCAGAGAGGAGCAAGGCAGAGTCCTTGCTCAAGTAACTGAGTCTAGTGGGGAGGCCAATGCTAGTGTGATAGTGCACCACGGAAGATGGGTGCCTAATTGGTTTTCTTCTCCCTCCTTCTGTCTCTCCTTAAATCCTGCCCCTCTGTCCTAATTAATCTTAAGACACACCCTGTTTAAAAAGCTTTATCTGCATCAGTTATCTGACTCCCCTCTTAAGTGTTTTAATCCCTTTGCTTCTGAATAGATTAAACTCTTCAGCCTGGAAATAGTTGATAGTTTTCTAAGTATGCTTCCTGGACTGCATCTGGGAAATTGTGAGAAATGCAAAATCTTGGGCCCCACCCCAGACCTACTGTATCAGAAACTCTGGGAGTGGTGCCTAGTAATTCGCTCTAAGAAACCCTTTAGGTGAGTCTGACTATCTGAGAACCACTGCTTCAGTCCATGGCACTCTGAGTGCCTGTGAGTTAGCTGCCTCACCCGAGGGCATGTTGGAAACACAGGGGATTGGCCTTATCTCACATCTGCTGCGCCTGGGGTGGGCCCAGGACTCTGTGTGTAGACCTGCCCTCTGGGTGATTTGTCTGTCTCCCTGGTGAAGGCTATTAGTGGGCTCCTGTAAGGAATTTGGCTTCATTGTGATTAAGATTGGAAGTGGTAGGAGGCTTTGAGCTGTGGAATGAGTGACCTTGCTCTGCTGTCCTTAATCTCTTCTCTAGAATCCCAGCTCCTTGGAAGAAGGGACCAGCTTTGCATTTTGCATATTCCACATTGCTTTGCATTAAAATAAAGGGATTTGATGAAAATAATTTCTAGTCCTTCTAATCGCCATATGCAGTCAGTCACCCAGGCCTGTTGGTTCTTCTGCCTAATTAGGATGGTTTCTTGGAAGGGATGTTCCACTTTATTCTCTTGGCTTCTGCATCATGGGCTGAGATTGAGAAAGCACTGGGTTGCCTCAGAGGGTGACATATTTGCTTAGAACGTGTAGTAAATACTAGTGTAGATCAAGCATAAAATTAGGAGGGAGCATCATCCTGCCCCCTTTGCCCCCTTTATTTATGATAGGACATGTAGAGGAGGAGGTTCTCTCCCCTCCCTTCAGATACCGGTATCGTAGTTTTCCAGCTTTTTTCCTCTTCTCTCTCTCTGCTTTCCCTGGATGATGGTGTCAGCTACTCGCTATAGTCTGATAATGCATATCTGTAGCTCCAGCCCAAACCCTTCTCCTAAACTGTGAATCCCCAGGTCTACTCATCTACTGCTGTTTCTGATTTAGTGTGCAAACCCCTGCAGAGTTTCCAAAACTCCATTGACTCTTGAGGTCATCTGAACTCAGTCCATGGCCTCAGGTACAGCTGTTTGCCGACAGCTTTTACATGTCAGTCTCTAGCCTGGACCTCTTTATTTGAAGTTCAGGTTCTAACATCCAGTTCACACTAGACATACCCACTTGGATGTCCACACTGAATCCTTCAGGCCTCCGAGACCTGCTCTTCCCCGTCGTTCTTCCCCTCTCAGGAGGTGACGCCTCCATTTCATCTGGCTGAAACGTTGCTCTGGCTGAAAGCCTTAGAGTCATCTTTCTCTCATACCCCACCTCTCATCAAAGGCGAATTCTGTGGTCTCTCTTCAGAATCGATCTAGCTAGGATCTGCCCGATCTCCCCACCTCCACTGCCACCACCTTGATCGGAGCTGCCCTCTCGAGTCTGCACTGTGTGGTAGCCTGTAACTGGTCTCCCTGCCTCTACCCGTGCCGCCTGCAGTCTGCCGTCCACCCAGCAACATAGCGATCCCTTGGATCCGGCATTCCTCTGCTCAGAACCCTCCAATGGCTTCCAGTCGTGTGTAGTAAAAGCCACGGTCCTCAGAGGAACTCTAAGGCTCCGTGTGATCTCCCCACCCCTCCCTGACCCATCTCCCGTACCGCCTGCTGCGCCAGGGGCTCCAGTCGCCCTTCCTCCTGAGTACACTGGCTGTGTGGCTGCCTCCGGGCCTTTCCGACACTTACTGTTCCTCTGCTCACAAGGGCTCCACCCCCAGGGGTGGTGTGACTTGTTCCTCGCTTCTATCCACTCTCCAATCGTGGGGCACCTCTTGGAGCCTTCTTTGATTACCCTCCAAAGGATGGGAGCCCTGTCGCCCTGTTCCCCTCTTTACCCTGCTTAGTTTTCCTTCACAGCACATCTGACCACCTGGATGCACTGTTCATTGTCTGCTCTTCACTGACTGTCAGCTGCGTGAGAGCAGATTGTCTTCGCTGCCTTCCCCCCAGCTCCAGGAACCGTGCCTGGTACATAGTTGGCACTCAGATACTTACCGAGTAGGTGGACCTCCTTGTCTCTTCCCTGTTTACCAAAACTTCGTTCTGGAACCCGTCCTTCATTGCTGACACGACTGGTGGTTTGGGTTGTGGTTGGCTTATTTACCGCGGGCCTCATATGTCCTACTTTCTACTTCAGGGTTGTAGTGGCTTAAAACTGCATTTGCCTGGAGGAATTGAATGGCTTTCGTGGCTGTGTTGTCACGTAAAGGTTTGAAATTCTGAAGTTCTTGTTCCACTGCCTGATTGAAGGGGTTTGGGGTCTGATTTTTTTTTCCTCTCTTTTTTTGGATGTTCTTTTCATCTGCCTGGTTTGGGGATTTAGTCCTGGACATGACGGTGCGTGGAATGATAGTCAGCTACAGGAAATGGCCCAGCTGAGGATTAAACACCAGGAAGAACTGACTGAATTACACAAGAAACGTGGAGAGGTAGAGATAGCTGCTCTCGTCTGTCCTCTGCTCTGTGCGGGTCCTGCGGTGGGGAGGATGGGCGGGCAGGCCCTTCCACTAGAATTTGCAGCTGTCTTGGCTACATATGGCATCATCAGCTCCATCTGTGGAAATGAAACAACTGGAAAGATATGATGTCTCTACCTCCATCAGTAAGAGGTTATTTTTTGTCCAGCTATTGAGATAACTACCCGGTTGTCATGTTCCAACATGGCGTGAAAGGTACGAGTGGAGAAACTGTAATGAAAGGAGGCTTGGGCCACTGAAGGTCTTACACCTTCATAAGCTTTTGAGAATGAACCCTGCAGTTTCAGAAAAACTCATGAGAAAGGATTAAGTCCTGGGCCGTGTTTACTCTGGACAGTGGTCTGATGGCAAATTATGAAAAAATAGTTTACTGTCAGTTCAGCTGAATGGATCATTTCATCAGCTGAAGAGTCTGAATAGTTTGCCAGGGTGGAGGGCTAGACAGGTGTCCTCAGCAGGAACCTGGCGGTCACCTAGAGCACTTCTCACCCACCCAAGGCTGCCCTCAGCGGCGAACAGCACACACTGTTCCCGTGAGTGAACCCAGGCCCTTCAGCTCCTCTCTGCCACCCAGCTTCTTTCTTCTTGGCGCCTTGGCCCAACCCCACGGGCAACATTTCTTTCTTACACATGAAATAACCCACTATTACTTAGTTCCCAACTGAGGTGCTAATTTATGAAAATGTTCTTGTTTACTCCAAAGTTAGCTCAGTTGGTGATTGACCTGAATAACCAAATGCAGCAGAAGGACCGGGAGATGCAGATGAATGAAGCAAAGTGAGTAGAGACGACACCTTTTTTGGGACTGGTTCTGGGATCACAACTCCTGTTTTACTGTACTCTTGTGAGCGGGCCACTGGTGACTGGTGGCAAACAGTAGCCGCACTGGACTCAGCAAGAGTTTCCTTTCTGTGCGTGCACAGCTGGGATCCTGTTCTACCTGCTCCAAGGGTGGGAGAGGCAGGGACAGTGCCCTCAGGCTCCAGGTTCCCAGCATACGCCTGGGAAGTAACCTTGGCCCTTGGAGGTGTCCCCGAGGCATTCACGGTTCTCCCTGTGGCCACTGCATATGGGGGCTGGTATCTTGTGTGGTAGAGATTGTGCCAAGATGTCCGAGTGTGTGGCCTTTGGGAACAGAGATGAGTTTGTGAGCAGGATTATTGTTGACCAGGGAGAAGCCTGATAGACAAGATAAACAGGGGCTCTCAGTCCTAGGACTTTGAGCTGGAAGGGGAGTCTGGGTTTCGTCTGTGCCTCTTTCCGTACTGTGCAGAACAGGGTGTCTAGAGGCTTGGAAAGGTGGAGGACTTGCTCAGATGTTCTCACGCAGGGAATGATGGAGCTGGTGGATTGCCAGCCTCCTTTGAAGCCCCCATTACCACTCTGTTTAAGTATCGAAAGCTCCCTCTTCAAACCTGCTTTTTGAAAGGTGCTTTAACTAGTCAGTCTGGATGAATTTCACCCTAGGTGTTTCCTCTCCTGTTGGGCTTGTCCTGTGAACCACTGGGGCTGGGCTTAGCTAAGTGAGATGTGATAAACATGAGTGTGCCACGTCATGCCTGTGTGATGGCTGAGGTTATTGTTGGTGCCCAGGTTCGCAGCTCGGGCACCCGGTCTGGCCCTCTGCCATCGGTGCCAGCCTCCTGCACGGTCCCATCCCTCCTCTGCATATCATGCTTTTCAGAATTGCAGAATGCTTGCAGACCATCTCTGACCTAGAGACAGAGTGCCAAGAACTGCGCAGTAAGCTGCAGGACCTTGAGAAAGCCAATCAGACCCTGAAGGATGAATATGATGCCCTGCAGATCACTTTTACGGCCTTGGAGGAGAAACTGAGGAAAACCACTGAGGAGAACCAGGAGCTGGTCACCCGATGGATGGCCGAGAAAGCCCAGGAAGCCAACCGCCTAAATGCAGAGAATGAGAAGGATTCAAGGTGGGAGCTCAGTGCACAGTTGCTGGTGTCCAGTGTTAGGAAAGTAAAACCTCGTTCTTTGAAAGGAAGGAAACAAACCCGACAGCTCTAACTACAGGTCGCGGGGGAAACCAGAAAACACTAACAAAACTAGAAATTGCACTGGTGGATATAAAGGAGATTGGGGTTTATGAGAACATTCTTACAGCTCAGCAAAGGATTACTTCCCCAGAGGGCTTTGGCTCCTACTATTTTTGCCAGTGAGGAGTTCTATTGTTTCAAGGAGAAAAGCTCATTCTTGAACAATATAAATTAAACCAAAATTAGAAAAAGATTGAATTGCCCTTCCCTCCATTTTATAAAACTGCTCAGACCTGTACCAAAAATTCTGATCTTGCTGGTATACAAGAAGGCTATAGTCCAGCGTCACATGGATGTAGATGTGAAATTCCCAAATCAAATTTGGTGGTGCTTTTTAAAAAAATTGACTGCAATACTGCTAGGATTTATGCCAGGAATTAAAAGATGGTTTGTTGGGAAATCAATTATATGTATCACATTAGATGATAAACTATATGACCACTTTGGTAGATCCGAAAAAGGCCATTTGCTCAGACTCAATTCCTAGTTCTGATAAAAACCCTTAACCTGGGGGGGGGGGGGGGTACCTTTCAATAAAAACACCTGTTTGTAACCAAGAGCCAGTAGTGTACTTAGCAGGGAAGCCTCCCACCCAGGACACTTGGAGTTGGAGTCTGGATGGAGGGAATTGTGTGTTGAAAATTCCCCCCAGAGAGTCTAGTACATGGGCGGTGAAGGGCCACCCTCTTCCAGACATGCCCATCAGTACCAGGAACAGGAGACGGAAGGGCGCCCTCCTCCAGACGCGCCCGTCAATACCAGCAGCAGGAGACGGAAGGGCGCCCTCTCGAGACTCAGAGAGGTGTTTTGGCCGATCAACCAGATAGGACACCAAATGCGGGGTCACTAGAATAAAGGAGAGGTTATGATTATCCACCTAGAAAATCTAAGAAAACCAACTGAGAAACTAGTAATAAGAGTTCAACAGAGATTAGAACGTTAAGAGTTTAAATCCCCACGCCAGTAGTTTAGAATTGGAAAAGATTATTGCAGTTAATCTGAGGGAATGAATAACTGAAAATAAGACTTAAAGAAGAATAATGGGCACTAACCCTACTAAATAATATAGTCAAGTAGATTTCAAAATTTGTAGAAAAGCTGAAACCATAAAGTAGAAGTAAAAAACGTGACTATTTTATGAAAAATTCCTAAAGAGGAGTTTTGGAGGGCTTTCTAAACTTTCAAAGTAATGGAAATAAAGAGTGGACTGTCGGGGCCAGCCCGGTGGCGCAGTGAGGTTAAGTTCACAGGTTCTGCTTCGGTGGCCCAGGGTTTGCCAGTTCCGATCCTGGGTGTGAACATGGCATCGCTTGGCAAAAGCCATACTGTGGCAGGTGTCCCACACATAAAGTAGAGGAAGATGGGCATGGATGTTAGCTCAGGGCCAGTCTTCCTCAGCACAAAGAGGAGGATTGGCAGCAGATGTTAGCTCAAGGCTAATCTTCCTCAAAAAAAAAAAAAGAGTGGACTGTATAAAATTTTTAGGTTTCTTAACATCAAAGAACACTAAAACAGTCAGCTAGGATATGCTATTATAAAATAAATATTCTTAGGATAAAGTAAGGAATTGGTGAGCACTCAGACAGGTGGACATAAGGCATAGGTAATTCATAGAAGGCGGGGAAAAGGGCTCCTCATGTTGCTGGTGGAAAGGGCACTGCTACAACCTCCTGAAGGGCACTTGGGGATGTCCGGGGGCCTGAAAAGTGTTCCAACTTGTTGGACTTCGTCCTAAGGAAGTAATGAGACTTGTTCACAAATATTTTGTGTTAGCACATTATTCATGGAAGTGACAAATTACAAGCAGTGTATCCCTCAGTATGTATATGTATAGTAAATACATATTAATATGTATAATAAAATACATAAGTTAATATAATGTTAATATAAAATCTTGTTCTACAACATCCATGTTTTACATTAGTTAGATTAGAAGGAATTATATTGTTAATAGTGTTATTTCTGGGTGGCGAGATTATAGTTTCTGTTTTCTCACACTTTTCTATATTTTCTAACTTTCTTAAGTTTCTGTTGTGTTAAGAAAACATGACTTTTGTATTCTTTCTGTCTCATGTCTACTTTCAGTCAGATGGCCTGGCTTATGCCGTGGAGCTCGTAGGCAGCTGAGGGTGGTGAAGACAGCAGGGTTACCTGGGAGTTGTCGTGCTGCGTATTGAAAAGCTGCTTGAGGGAGCAGTGGGCAGGCTGAGGAGGCGGCTTTGAGCTCCACAGTGGAGCAGGAGAGTAATTCAGACTTTCTCATGAAAATGGGATGTGAGGCACGGGACTTCTCTGCCTCATTCCTTCCCTCAGATGGCTTCTGCTCCTCCTCAGAAGCTTCGCCCCTTCCTGCCAACCCCCCAGGTTGGATGTCCTCCTTCCAGCAGCCTTTGTTTCCCTGGGTCCTTGCAGAGCACACTGTTTTGAAATAGCTCTTCATGTTCTGCCCCCCTCATTAGGCTGAGGAGTGTCCCCACAGTCAGGCACGGTGGCTGCTGTGGCAGACATACTCGGGGAATGTGTGAGCTCTTAAAGAAGGACATTTCCTTTCAGCTGAAGGCCAGCCTGCAGGTGTGTCTTCTCTCTGTGACCTTGGGTCTCTCCTTATCTGCCTTTTCAGACAGGTGCCTTTCTGGTAGAGGAGTGTTACCACTAAGATTCTGGTTTTCCTTCAGAAATAGTTCATAGGTCTTCTATTCCAGCTAAGAAAAATTTGTTAAGCTGTATTTTTTGTTGTTTGTCTTGTAAAACTTACTTTTCAGGGGCTGGCCCTATGGCGTAGTGGTTAAGTTCATGTGCTCCCCTTTTGCTGCCCGGGGTTCCCAGGTTCAGGTCCTGGGCATGGACCTACACACTGCTCATCAAGCCATGTGGCGGAATCCCACATACAAAATAGAGGAAGATGGACACAGATGTTAGCTCATGGCCAATCTTTCTCACCAAAAACAAACAAACAAAAACCCTTACATTTCATCTTGCAGGTATAAAATTAAGAGTGTAATGCACTTTTTCAAGCTACAACCTCATCCCTTCCTGATTCTGATATGCCACCCAGAGCACTTTTCCTCATTTTGGGAATTATCACTGTGGTAGAAGCTTTAAAAAAAATTCCAGCAGGATTCTTGACTGGAGCTCAGTAGCAGTGCTAGCGTTCTGGATTGGGGGTCCTTCACAAAGAGAGTAAAGCCACACTTGGAGGTGAAACTGCCACAGAAAAGAGAACGAGGCCGAGGTTAGAAATTAGGGAGCTGCTGAATTTAGGACTTGGGAAGGAGAGCCAGAAATAGTTCTGAGAGGGGGGAGAGCGGATGCGACGCCTGACTGCGGAAAAATTTTGCTACAGCTGAGACTGAGGTGTCCAGCCTTAGTAAATGGAAGCTGTGTACACTTTGACAGTTCAGGAATCTCACCGTACCTCAGTTCCCTCCTCTGTAAAATGGGAATAATAGAACTTAACCTCAAAGCATTGTTATAAGGATTAAAAAAGTAACTTAAAACCTGTCAAACAATAAAACCGTGCCACGTACCAGGAAGTTCTAAGTAAATCTTTATTATTGTTCTTGCTCTTGGTATGTTAGTGTAAGATGATTTGCTGTAGAAAACTAAGTGGGCTGTGAGTGACCCTGGATAAACTGCATGGGTCTTCCTGTCCTGAGGGCCTGGGTCCCCACAGAAGGCAGGCGTCTCCCTTGCTGGGTCTCTGCTTTCTCTAATAACATAATCCCTCCAGGCTTTGCTCTGCAGTCCTTTGTAATGGGAGCCCTGCTCATGTTACAGGCGTGGCTTTGGGCCTTTGGTGTCTTTGTCCAAGGTAGCTGTTATTTAACAAGCACTGAATATTCAAATGTGTTATCAGAACTGGTAGTTTATTGAGAGCCAAAACTCTATGTTTTCTTTAAGCAGACATAAATAATGGGCTTTCTTAAAAATAGGAGGCGCCAAGCCCGGCTACAGAAAGAGCTTGCAGAAGCAGCAAAGGAACCTCTACCAGTTGAACAGTAAGTAGAGATACATGAATCAAAACTGTGCTCTTAATAATTTGATTTGCTCTTTTTAAATAGTTTTATAATATTTTTATTGCTATAAAACCATTGTGTAGATCTGAGAAAGAAAGCCAGAAGGTTTAAGGGAGAAAATTAAAAAACTCATTACCCTCCAGAAAGTTGTTCCAGTTTATGCTCCTCATCAGCTGCATGAGTTCTGACTTCTGCAGCCTTAACAAGTGGCAGCATCACTGTCTTCCTGTTGACATGTTGATCCGTTTTCTGCCCCTCGTTGGGGCTGTTGCAGTGTAGTGCTGGGCCTGGGTTCTTTCTCTTGCTCTCTCCTTGGTTTGTGACTTTAAGTGGAGGTTTGGACAAACTTCTGAAGCGTAAGTGAAAACTAGGATCTCTTGGAACAAAAGGAATTGAATCAGTTTGGAGCTTTTTCTCATCTGGAGTTGGGATGGAAGATCTTCCCTAAGATTTGAAGCTTTGTTTTAAGAGTGGTGGATATTTTAATAACTAAATTCCCTTTGCTCTAGTTCAGTAGGTATTTTCTATTGAAATATATTCTGGAATATAGTGTTAGAATTATGATCCACTATTTTTTTAAATGTTGATTGCTTCCTTATAAATGGAGGAGAGTGGTTTAAATTCAGTTAGGAGTCGCCTACCGGACAAAGCTCTTCATTTATAAGAAAACAAAGGCTCTTATACCAAGCCTCTGCTTCAGATGTAGCATATGTACATTTCTTCTATACTCTCAGATGTGGAAAATGAATCTCATCTATTTTCCCGAAACTACAGAGTAAATAAATAATTGACCTGGAAATGAGAGTCGGTTCCGTAAAAATAACAGCTTACGAAAGCAGCATTTGTCTGCCTCCTATTTGCCAGCATAAACAGGTGAGTAGGTATAACAGACAGGTCAGTCATCTTGCTCAAGATCACACAGGAAGGGGCTGAGCTAAGATGCAGACCTAGGGCTATCAGACTGTACAGGCCTGTTCTTGATCTCTTGCTTCCCTGAGAGTAGAGTTTTTGGGGCAAAGGACATTTACATCTTTGATGGGTTTTGATAACCAGTTGCCACATCCTGTGGTTTTCATGGCCCTGGGCCTTTGCACAGTGCCAAGTACCTTTATGACTGTAAAATTCTATCTTAAAGCCTTTCCATGGGCTCAGCTAAGATTTGCCACTCTCACCGTCTCCACTGGTCCGCTGTCGCCCTTGTGTGAACACAAGTGACTGCCCCATACCACAGCCGAGAAGGAAGGAGCACTCAGCCGTGTTCTGTTTCTTCAGGCCTGCCTTTGTTCTCATCTGCATCCTGGCCAAGACTGGGTTCACTTACACAGAATCTGAGAGTCAAGAGCCAAGGAAAATAAGTTTACTTCGACCTAGTTTAACTTGCTAGGTAACAAGTTCTTAAGTCTATATTTACGTAATCCAGATAATAAATCCTGGGAAAATCTTGCTTTCAGGTTCTTATGAATCCGGAAATTAGGTGAGATGGTCTTAGGTTATTACATTTTGTTATTTTACTTCTCCATGCAGATTGCAACTTGGTGGGAGTCCATTAAGACCAAAATAATTACTTGCCTTCCCTCCAACCAGGAAAACAGGGAGGAGGGGGAATTCCAGAAGTGCTTTGCATCCGGTGGGATAAACAACAGCAAAGGAGCGTGTTCCTAGCACTTGATTACTTCGTGTGAACTGTGATGGGCTCCCCAAATGTCAGAGGCACTAGTGTTTAAGCACAAAATAGCCAGAGGCAACAATGAACTGCGTTTAGATTTCGCTCTCCTGGTTTTTATTATTAAAGTTATATTTAAGACTGGGATGTGAATGCAGCTGTTAGTTTCCCTGCCCTGTTAACAGTCCCTTTTCTTAGTCCCCTGGGCCTTCTCCCTAGACTGTCATTTCCTAGCACTCCGTAGCTACCGCTACCGATCCTCTGTGCCGCTCAGCGTATCTCAGGGGAACTGTTTATCATGAGGGCTGCCATCCACTTGTTCACGTGCAGGAGCCTTTCAGCTGCGAACCAGACTTCTTCTGATGTGCAGAATCTACGTTGGTACTGGTTAGTGGTTATAGACTTAATAAGCCATTATTTGATTGCTTTCCAAGTGGGAGCTGTGTTTAGACCTAAAAGGATCAGAAGCTCACATTTAAGGTGATTTTCAGTTGGAATTCTGGATTTGATTGGAACAGGTTAAACCTTTCCTCCTTGTGTTGCTCAGAGCATGGCAGTGCCTCCGTTTTCTCCAGAGACCTCTTAACCGTCACCACCACAGCCAGCTCATGTAGGCTGTGTGTGACTAGGAAATGGTGTGGCCTTGGCAGGACAGACTCATCACAAAGCTCCTGTTTAGCAGGATCAAAGACTCGGCCTCTCACCCTTCTTTCCAGGGATGACGACATTGAAGTCATCGTGGATGAAACCACCGATCATGCAGAGGAGACCTCTCCCGTGCGAGCCATCAGCAGGGCAGCCACGTAAGTAGACGGGTTGGGCCTGAGAGGGGAGCTTGAGCTGTAGTTTGACAGAGGACGTTCATGGACACAACAGAAGGACAGTCTGATGCCCTCAGACCCCGTTGCTAGAACACCTGGCCCCTCCTGCACAACCACAGGGATTGTGACTTCCTGAGTGTCCCTGTCTGTCTCAGGTCACCTTTAGGTAGGCGAGCCGTCCCTTAGTGCTGCTACTAGCCGTTAAGCAGAAAAAAGTGTACTGGCTTCCTGAAAGATGGACAGTTAAACCCAGGCAGGGTGATTGTTTAGATCGTCCTGTTTCATTCATACTTGAGCTCCAGGATTTTTTTTATTTGCTAAAGCAGGACCAAAAGAATGGGGATTGGTTATTGACAGCCAGACGTGGTTAGGTCAGTTAGTTTCATTGTCTAAAACATTATTTCCAGGGACATTATTTTAACACTAGGGAACCTTGTATCTTTTCAAACTTCCAGCTGGGTTTTCCCTCCTACCTTCCCACTGTTTTCTGGTGATTCAATACTGTGTTGGGTTTCTTGGCTGGGGTTTGGGAACTCAATGGAAAATATGCACCCTGGTACCTATTTTTGTGAACTGTTTTTATTGATTGATTATTTGGGCAAAGTGTTTCTAAGGTTTAAACCTATCCTCCCCTCCTCTTTAGTAAGCGACTCTCGCAGCCTGCTGGAGGCCTTCTGGATTCTATCACTAATATCTTTGGGTAGGTTAGAAAACCTTCGCCTTCCCTTGTTACTGTGTGTGTAAATATACCTAAGTATATGTACATGATTTATTACCGTTTTTAAACGTACACCAGAGTTTCAGTGGTGCAGAGTATACAGATGCCTTGATTTCAGCTTTTCATTTAGCTTCTTCCTTTTTTCCTCAACTTCCCTTCTCTTAACCTCGCTGCGCGCTGATCTCTGGCCTGACTCTCTAGTCTGTCCGAGTCTCCCCTTTTGGGACATCACTCTTCTTCTGATGCTGCCAGGTGAAAACGTTATCCTCCTTAGCCCAGCATGCAAGTGTGGGTCGTTGGTAATCATACTGATCACCGCTTCACTGCCTCGATCGTCGAGTGTACCTGTGCTAACCCGGTGCTTTGCATGTCGCTGGGACTGCTGTTTGCCCTCTGCGCAGGGCGATTTGATGGAGCTCCTTGTGCAGTAATCACGCTCTCGTTGCTCTTTCTTTTGGCATGTGTTCCACTCCGCCTTGACCACAAGTGTATACTGAGGACGATTGTAACTAGGCATAGAAATCATCTCAAGGTGGTTTTACAAAAATACCAACAAGCTTCCTCAGAGCTAGCAGTTACATTCTGTTGAGAAAGTTTTCTAGCAGTTAATTGACTGAGGAAGCAGCTGTTCCTGAGGACTGCTTTTCAGTGTTGACTTTTGGAGTCCGTGAGTTAGCAGGCAGCGTGCAGGTTATATGCTATCTTAGCAGCTGTCATTTGAGTGAGGCTGCTTCTAATTTGGTGAATTGTTCTGTGGTTTGAAGGGTTGAGAAGGGAAAAGAAGCAGTTGACCAAGGTCATCTTTGAGTCCCTTCTGAGGTTTGACGGACGGTAAGCCTGGGCAGTCCTCTCTAATGTTCTCCTTCGTGTTACTCCTCAGGAGGCGCTCTGTCTCTTCCTTTCCAGCACCCCAGGATAACGTGGATGCTCATCCTGCTTCTAGTAAAGAAGTGAGGGTGCCAACGACTGCATTGTGCGTCTTTGTGAGTATGGTTTATCCCCAAACCTGTCCAAGCTCCGTATGGGAACAGCCCGACAATTAAAGTATCCTTTCCACTGCTGCAGCTAAGCCTTGTATTGTTCTATTTCTATCAGGCTTTACACCTGTTGGCTCTGACTGATGGAAGGGGTTGATATTTGTGGAGGACGGAACTTGTTGCAACCATTCTTCCTAACACAGGGCTGGCTGAGGGAGAGATCAGTACGATGAGAGATGGGGCAAGGGAAGACTGATCAGGGATGGTGAGAGATTGGGGAGTAATTCATCCAGTTATCACCAGTTGGCTCCAGTTTAGAGTGAGATCGTAGACGGCAGTCTATTATGGAAGCCCAGTAGGACAGCTGTTGGCTTCCTGAATTACACCTGTATCTGTATGACCTCTGACCATTAGGAGCATACGGTTTGAATCAGGACATAGTCCTGAGCAGAAGCCACTGTGATACCAGGGCTGTCAGCTGGAGTTCAGAGCTGCCTCCTGGTACTAAAGGATGATCCGATCCCAGCGAGGGTGATGGAGCAGAGATTGAACCAGCCTGGGGACATGTAGAGTCCCTGGACAGGCCTAGCAGATGTGTCGGGGGATTTGGGGTGGAAGGTGAAGCAGAAAAAGCAGAGAGAGCCCAGGTAGTTGGGCTGACTTGGGTTGTGTAGAGTGAGTCAGAGGAACCAGCTTTCGGAGAGAAGACTTCTTGTAAAAGTGGATGGAGTTATATGGGGGTGTGTTCAGTTCCAAGCATAGGGAAGAACTTTAATAATTAGATATGACCACACAGTGAACTGGCTGAGCGATTGACCATCTGGGACATTGTCAAGAGAGTCTGCTCTGGAGGAAGAGTTGGACTGGGGGCCATTAAGGCTGCTTCTCGTCCTCATTCCGCTCCTCTGATTCCCTAAGGGGCCTGGGCTCCTGGAGGTCGATGATGATTGGTAAAAGGTCTGATTGCACTTCATGTCACAGTCCCTTCCTTGCCCTCAACTCCCAGCAGCCCATTTTTTTCCTCCTGTCACACTGAAGTCATGTGTCTGGGATAATGGAGCAGCTGACAGTTGGGGATTCTGTCAGCATGTGTTTCTGAGAGAGAATGGGTCACAGCTGACAAGTATCCAACAGAACCAGTTCTGCAGGAGATTGATGAGCGGCAGCCCTGGGTGTGACGGTGCATGATCTCAAGTTTTCAATCTGAGACCTCCTGCTTAGAAAGTTAGCATAAAAAAGAAAAAGAAGGGAATTGCGGGGAGTAAAGGTTTGGTGACCTGTCCTACAGCTTTTGAGCAGTGGGCCACAAGAGGGGGCTGGGAAATCTGGTCACCAAGCAAAGTAATAATAAAGTGCTGCTTATTCCCCTGTCAGTTAATAGAGTCACACTCTCAGTATTTCAAGCATCTTACAGTTTTTCAGTCCCAAGCAAATGTGAAGATTAGATTTTATCTTCCCAAAATGATTTTTTAGGCATGTGATTGATGACTTTTTTTTTTTTTTCTTTGCTGAGGAAGATTCACCATGAGGTAACATCTGTTGCCAGTCTTCCTCTTTTTGCTTGAGGAAGATTTGCCCTGAAGTAACATCTGTGCCAGTCTTCATGTGGTACATGTGTATGTGGGTCGCCGCCACAGCGTGGCCACTGACAAGTGGTATAGGTCCGAGTCCGGGATCTGAACCCGGGCTGCCAAGCAGGAGCCTGCTGAACTTAACCACTAGGCCACAGGGCCGGCCCCCTGATGACCTGTTTAATGATCTAATATTTATAATCCACGTTTTCCTTGGGTTTTTTTTTCTTTTTAATATGGAATTTTTCAGTTATAGGCAGAGGTAGAGATGAAAGAACTTCCAGGTACCACCGTCCAGTCAGTGGCTTCAGTGAGCCACATTTGCCCATCTTCGTGTATCTGTCCCCCTTCTGCTACAGCAATTTAAAACAAATCCCAGAGGTTGTGTCTCATCCATAAATCGTTCAGTGTCCGTGGTCTTCTGAGAGAGATTATGGCAACATCTTCTAGTATTCTCTTCCCATTCTAGAGTGGATGCTTTTTACTTGGTTTCCCTTCTTATCCTGAACACAGAAGCCATCTTCTCAGATTATGTGTTCCAGGGTGGATATTAGTCTCAGAAATTTCCTTCTGAAGAATTTAAATTCTCCCAAAATAACCCGTTATTTTTATTGAAGACCTACTCACAGTCAGGCACAGTCTTAGGCTGCAAACCTTACAAAGTCTTTTTTTAATAGATGGGCAGACTGAGGCTTTGGGAAGTTATGAAACTTGGCAGTGGTCACACTGCTTGCAGGCATTAGTGCCATGTTGTCTCCAGAAAGAGCTGCGTAGAATCCCACTATAATACCGAGGGGAAGCAGTGGACTGGCATTTGCTCATGTTTGGACTGCATTGCATATACTCCGGAAAGCCATAAAAGCTTGCTTTATCATGAGAAGCCATACTATACTTGACATATGTAGTTTAGTGTGTAGTATTAATGCATTTGAGACCAAAGAGAGGCACTTAATCATAGGTTTACTTTTGAGCTGTTGAGATCATAGTAGAGTATAGGTTGAAGTTTCATTATTTTTAGAAGAAATAAAATTAATGCAAAGAAAAGCTTTAGGCAGTTAGTAACTGTAAGAATAAAATGATCAGGGGCCTGCCCCGTGGCCCAGTGGTTAAGTTCGCACTCTCCGCTTTGGCCACCCGGGGTTTTGCCGGTTCAGATCCTGGGCGTGGATGTGGCACCGCTCATCAGGCCATGCTGAGGTGGCATCCCACATAGCCGAGCAAAAAGACCTGCAACTAGACTGTATAAGTACGTACTGAGGGGTGTGGGAGAAGAAGAAGAAGAAAAAAGATTGACAATAGATGTTAGCTCAGGTGCCAATCTTTAAAAAAAAACAATACAATGATCATAGAATCTTAGGGGACACTGGGCTAGGAATCCAAGTCAGTTTATGATTGGATCCCTCTCTGTAAGGGCGGGTGTTTATTAACCTTTGATTAGGTGTCCAAAGTGTTCCTTTGTATCAGGCTCAGTCCTCTTGGGAATGACAGTGATTGGGTTTGACACAGACGCTTGTCTTGCAGGATGCTCACGACGGGGAGGTGAACGCTGTGCAGTTCAGTCCAGGTTCCCGGCTGCTGGCCACAGGAGGCATGGATCGGAGGGTTAAGCTTTGGGAAGTGTCTGGAGGTGAGATGCCATCGGAGTGCACAGAAGGAAGTTGTGTTGGTGACTTTGCTTTCACACATTCTTTGAATCACTCATCTTCTCAAAACATCCAGCATTTTGTGTAAAGAATCATGGGACCAAAGCATCATTCCATTTCAGTCACTCTTGACAGCTGAGTGGATGTCTGCTCGGTTTCCAAGTAGTGACTGGAAAATGCTGTTAAGTTATGGATAGGTTTGTGTTTGTGTTTTCTCAGATATATACTGATCATAACCTCTTCCCAGACAGTACTGGTTTTAGAAGGAAAATACAAAATCTTAGTCATGGACTCTATAATTGAACTATGCTTTGAGCTGTGTTTTATGCAGTTAATAATGCCAGCGGCCATAGCCTAGAAAAAAGTGACTCAAGTCGTATCTGAGCTTGGGAATAGAGAAGAGGGGTGTGTCACTAGGAAAAATGTGTTGAACAAACAGCTTCTCAGACAAGGGCCCTAAGCTCAAGACTCAGTCTCGTTGATTAGACCTTGTTTCAGAAATGACCTCAGATACTCAGAAATGGGATGGCATTAAAACAGGAAATGGGAGTTAATGAAACCCTGTCTCAGAATTCTGAAGCTGGGCATAGCCCAATTTCATCCTCTTGAGATTCATGTAAGTATACACGTATTTTCAATAAAGCAAGGTCACCAGTGAGGCCGAAGGTTTCCATGGGAGCCACTTTGTCAGGTTTGCCTAGTTGTAGCACATACCTGCTCACTGTCTGGCCACAAAGAGCAGCAGTGCGCCTGTGTCCACGTTACTTCCTCTGATCTCAGGAGCCCTGTGTGATTAGAAAGGTGGGCGTCGCCCCTGTTAGGTGAAAGCGCAGAAACTCTGAAGCACTGCTTGTCCGTAGTTGCTTGATTTCCGTGGCTAGTAAATGATTCCCTTGGCAAGGGAGCAGTAGAACCAGCACCTGAGCTGGGTGTTCAGACTGCGCCCTCCTCGCTTTCCACTGTGGCCTCCTCTGAGCTGTGGAGCCGCTCAAGAAGCGCGTGGTTGCTGCTTTTGACGTGTTCAGGGCAAAAGCAGTCTCTTATCCCTTTGATTATAATAGATTATCAGTAAAGCACCACACTTGTCTTCACTGGCCTTGATTTTCAGGAAAGTGACTCAGTAATTAAATCCCTGGCCGTTACAGCCGGTTGAAGCCCATCAAAATGTGTGCGTTGTGCCCAGAAACACCTTATAAGTGATCACTGCTGAAACTGTTACAGAAAACAATGCTAGAATCCATATCATAAGAATAGGAATTTTATGCAATTTGGTTTTTAAAAATCTAAGCGGATTGTTTTGATTATGCCTTGCAATTCAATAGAGAAAACGCTGGAGGTATTTTTGTTTTACTCCTTGGTCAGTAAAAATACCTGTAAGAAAATTAGGGATACCGACCTTTAGTAATAGGCTTGTCTTTTTGCTGCTGAAGAGAAAATCAACACTAATCAAAATTAATATTGACATAATTTGTGCCAGAACAGAGTTTGTGTTAATAAACTGAGATGTTTCTACTCGGTCTACAGAAATAACAGAATGTTTGGCAGCATTTTTTATAGTCTTTAGGAACAAATATTAGTCATGTCCTAGCTTTTTATAGGGCCTTTCTTCCACAGAGGACTTCCTGAGTCTTCAGGGTTTTCCCCTTGGCTAATATTTATTGAATCTTGAAAGAGACCAAGTCCAAGAGGCCTTTTATGGAATAGTTCAGGGGTCCTGTTTTTTACCCTTTAAAAACATCAGATGAATGGCACTTTCTACCCAGTAGAGCGTGTGTCCTTGCTCATTCTGTCAAAAGGAGAAACATTGGGAATTACTTATACAGATGGTATGGACAGTCTCCCCTGGCGCCTTCTAGATAAAACAGCTTTAATAAGGAGCTTGGTCTTCTGAGATCAGTCTCTTGTGTAGAATGATATTTATGGGTCATTTGTTGCATTTTGGCATTGTGTTAACTGCCAAACAAATAGACCGATATTTTGGGCATAAGCCAAAGAGGTATTTCTTAGAATTTGCTGTTATCTTTCTATCTGTGAAGGTCTAGTCTAAACGAAGACCTTAATTAGTGGGTGACTTTTTTTTTGACTCTTGAAAATCTAATGAAAGCTAGGATCCAGGAGAAGGCATTAAATTTGCTATATTTTGCAAGTAAATTGAGAGGAGGGGTTCATTGACCAGGTTAATAATCCTGGCCCTAAAATGTATTTGACAGCTCCAAACCAGCATTCATATCATTATTACTATTTAGAGGTACTGAGTATTCACTGAAATGTTCCCTATTCTGTTGCGCCCCTTTTATGAATTTCATTAGAGTGGTTTCCTAGTTGTTTTCCTAGCTTGTCTGTATAGGTCATCCTTAAGCTACCCTTTAAAAAAGGAACTTAATCACATCGTCATTGTGACTGTTACACTTCTGAGTTTGTGCCTGCATCGTCATTAGAGTTCCCGTGTGGGTGGCCAAAGATGTCTGACAGCAGGGCCCGGGAGTGGGTGGCCGGGTCTGGGGAGAGAGCGGGGAGCGCCCTGGCAGGCAGTTAGATTGCCAGCATATGGTTCCTGGAGATAGAGTAAGTGTAACGAAAAATTCCAGAAACTCCAGACTAGTTTTACTGGCATTCTAATGACTAGCCAGTAACACAGAACTGAAAAAATTTCTCTTCAGATCTTTATGAGAATTACCACACCTTGGGTTCTGAAAATTTAATGGTCAGGTTCTACAAAAGGGATTGTTAAGTTGACACAAATACTGATCAAATTCAAAGATGTATTTCTGTAAATTAGAAATTTTTACTGAGAGGGTCCGGCCCAGTGACACAGGAGTTAAGTGCGCACGTTCTGCTTCGGCGGCCCAGGGTTCGCCCGTTCGGATCCCAGGTGCGGACACAGCACCACTTGGCAAGCCATGCTGTGGCAGGCATCCCACGTATAAAGTAGAGGAAGAGGGACACGGATGTTAGCTCAGGGCCAGTCTTCCTCAGCAAAAAGAGGAGGATTGGCGGCAGATGTTAGCTCAGGGCTGATCTTCAAAAAAGAAAAATTTTTACTGAGAAATAACAGAACTGAATAAACTCAGCCTCTAGGTCTGTTGACATGCTTTCAAAATCCTGCACTTATCTCTTTGTGAAGAGAATCTATGGCACTAAGTTTCTTGAAAGGAACAGCTTAAGGACACGTGCAGGATGCTAGGCTCTGCCTCTGCGTCCATCTTCCTTGCTCTTCGAAACTGACGAATGGTATATTTTTGTCTAGTAGTCTGTCTTGCTGTTTTTGATTCTGTAACAAAGTAATCGGCTCCCATTGTATTTCAGGTGCTCCGTTTTAACTTACCTGTTAGCTTTACCTTTCTGTCTTTCTTCAATCTTTCTTTTTATGCAGACAAATGTGAATTCAAGGGTTCCCTCTCCGGCAGCAACGCAGGCATTACAAGCATTGAATTTGACAGTGCTGTGAGTATCTAATACCCATGGAGACAGGCAAGTTTAGAGGTTTTTAGAAATAGTTTAAGATGTCTCGTTGTTGAAATTTAAACGTAACTCATCTGATTTTTCTGCTATGCTCTGTCTTAAGTCAAATCAGTGTTAGAGGAGGATGCAGGTAGATTATAAATCCTATGCTGACCATTACCATGTTGGAGCCTGGGTGGGGCAGGCAGGTCTGCAGTACCCAGCAGTCAGTGTCTGCAGACTTGAGAAAAGCCCCGCTTTGGGCCAGGGCAGTGCAAGTGAGAGGAGAGGGTCTAGCTAGATGTGTTGGAGATGAGCAGGTCTCCCAGGGGTTAATTGGGAAGAGAGGCAAGGGGAGAGTCAGTGCCTCTGGGCTCTCTGGCTTTGACAGTGTGTAGAGAAAACCAGCATTTGCTGTTCATGAATGTGGCGGGGAAAATGAACAAGGGAGGACGAGTTCTACTTTGAGCTGGAGGGTCTGCAGCATTCAGGCGAGGCTGAGTGAGCTCAGAAGGGTCTGGACTTGATAGCACACCAGTGATAATGCCTGGTGTTGGGATCAGGTGAATGGTTTGGGGCATCTAGAGCTCCTTGGACTTGACTCTTGGGGAGTTTGTATTGTGTGAACTGAATTCCACTATTGTGGCTAAAATTTGTTTTCCCCCTTTATTCCTATAGGGATCTTACCTCTTAGCAGCTTCAAATGATTTTGCAAGCCGAATCTGGACTGTGGATGATTATCGGTTGCGGGTAAGATGCAGTTAAGAAAATTAGTACAGTTGTCTGAGGGGGATTGGTACCAGGGACCCTTGTGGATACCAAAATCCACTGATGCCCGAGTCCCTTGGCCCTCTGTGTCCCCAGGTTCCACATCTGCGGGTAGGGAGGGCCGAGAGTATAATCTCCAAACTTCAAGTGGTTACTGGGGCACAAAATGTGGGAAGTGGCAGGTTGATTAATGAAGAGAATAGTGTGTGTTTTCCTGAAAACCATACTTGATTCCCCCTGCCTTTTCTCATTGGAAAAATTTGTATTTCTACTTTATACTCTTACTTTGTCCAAGATTCAGTTAAAAATATTTGCAGTAGGAGGGCCAGCCCATTGGCATAGTAGTTAAGTTTGTGCACTCTGCTTTGGCAGCCTGGGGTTTGCAGGATCAGATCCTGTGCACGGACCTAGCATTGCTCATTAGACCATGCTGTGGCAGCATCCCACATTAAATAGAGGAAGATTGGCACGGGTGTTAGCTCAGCAACAATCTTCCTCAAGCAAAAAGAGGAAGTTTGGCAGCAGGTGTTAGCTCAGGGCCAATCTTCCTCACAAAAAAGCAAACAAGAAAATTGCAGTAGGAAACACTGACATTTCTGTGAAAGATTTGGGATACTCCTGCTTATAGGAACCAGAAACTTGATAGTTACCAGTTTTAGCTGAACTTCAGCAATCTTAACACCAGCATATGAATTGTGTTTGTTATGGGCTCCAAGACTTAGCAATTACCCAACGGAGTATAGCTGGAAAGTAGGACGTGTAAGTACATAATAGGATGCGCTTGTGATAAAGAGAAACAGCTCTGAAATAAAAGCTAGGAGACAAAGTGTACAGGAAGGGAGAATAGGGGGCTCAGATGTTCAGGAAATCTGCATCTGAACCCAAACCTGCCCAGGAGTCTCTTGGATTCTGCGATGAAGACCAAAACTTGGTGGTTATATCGCCTTGTTCTAATGAAAAACAGCTTAATGTGGACATGCTTTTCTCCTTAAGCTTGAAGGAGTCTTCACTTCAGCTCACTAAATAAAGGCTACTGAAGGAGAAAATGGAGGATGAACTTGACATTGGTAGGCTTTTTACCAAAAAATGTTTGACACAAGCTCTTGTGTATCAACTCACATGGAAAATGGCGTGATGTTGAGATGAACTTCTTAAAGATAAATCTACAGGGAGGTTGTCGGGGGCTGCGCTAGAATGGTCCGTTAGGTGGTTTCTGGTGTTCTGATTTGATGATGTAGGGATGGAGCTGGAAAAATCCTTAGAGACACAGTTAACATCACTTAGGCCTTCCATCTTCTTGAAGCAGCTAAATGCAAAATTACCAGTATTAGGTGCTAGCCAATACCTGAAAGATGGTGGTAATTCTTTATTCTTAGTTGAAAGAAGGTCCAGGGCTAGGTTTGCAGAGTATGAGACATGAAGATGACAAACATGATGTTCTCTCGTGAAGGCTGAAGGGCCTGCCCTGTGTTCTCATCTGAATGAGGGCACAGAGAGGTGACTGTGGAGGCCTGCGGGCAGGCCAGGACTGCTCAAGCACCAGCTCCCATCTGGCCAACGCTCGCACAGGTCTCAGTGGGAGGCCTGTAGATCTGCACCCTAAACGCGGAAAAGATGCCCAGCCTGTTCTCAGGGCGGCATTCCAGTCTGGCCTGCGGTATGCCATCCTTGATTTAAGCGTCTGTCTCTTATTGGACATTTAAGACAGGGTTGAGTACTTCTGCAGATGTTTCTTGCCTAAAGGAGAAGGGACTTTTCTTGAGTGGCTTCTGTGCGTTTGACCCAGTTCTGAGGTATATTGTGTACCTACAGCTTTAATCCTCAGGAGGAGCCAGGTGGGGTAGGTAGATGAGGAAGCTGAGGCTCAGATAAGCCCATAAAATTACCTAGTCACACAGTTAACAAATAAGATGAGAATTGGAATTGAGGCCTGTGTTCTTTCCTCTGTTTGCTTGGCCTGGGTTAGCCTAGACTGAGGTACAGTAAATCTGTCTAATTAGTGAAGACAAACATGCAGCCTTCCTTATATTTTAGGTGGGCATCAGCCTTTGGGTCCGAAATAGCAAGAAGGGGCCCTGGAGGAGGCAGGAGGATAGACCTGGGAGACAGGTCATGTGGCAAGCTTTCCTACTCGGCCAGCTTGCAGAGGTGGATGAGTTTCACTGGAGAGGGTGCTCTCCACGGCTGGGGCACCATGTGCAGGCTGTGGGCTGACGAACTGGGGGGTGATGCTGGGGCTTGTCTGCTGGACTGGCTGGTCTTGAGGGCCTCTTGTCTGCTCCCACCTGTGTCCTGTCCCTCGGTAAATGTCTGAAGGAGATCAGGAGGCCTTTTAAACAGGTTCTCCATGCCCAGAGAAAGTGCAGGGAGCTGTTACCCACCTCCAGGAAGTGAGAAGGCTCCCTGCGGTGGGAGGTTCTGGCTTCTGCTTAGACCCCAGTGAGCAGAGGATGTTGGAGGACATGAATGGACACCCATGTTCTGAGACTCCAGATCCAAGCCCTGGGCAGGGCCTCCTTAGCTTTTATGAGGAGCGGTGGTGTTGGGAAAGACTCGCATGCAGGGAGCAGCTGCTTGGGGGTGCTTTAGCGTGCTTTCAGTGGAGGTGTCCTGGGAACAGCCTAGGATTGAAAGGAGTCTGTTGGAGGACTCTTCAGTATCAGGTGTTACAGACTCCCTTCAAAATCCGAAAGGACAGGGGCCACCCCGTGGCCGAGTGCTGAAGTTCACTCACTCTGCTTTGGCAGCCCAGGGTTTCGCCAGTTCAGATCCTGGGCGCGGACATGGCACACACCGCTCATCAGGCCATGCTGAGGCCGCGTCCCACATGCCACAGCTAGAAGGACCCACAATAAAAATACACAGCTATGTACCGGGGGGCTTTGGGGAGAAAAAGGAAAAATGAAATCTTAAAAAAACTAAAAGGATAGTGCAGAACTGCCTGGCTGCTCTCGAAGGTGTGACTTGAGGCACTGGGTGGAGAAACCGCTCTGCTCCTTCTCTGACGGTCATGTGGAGAGGTGGCCCCCGTTAGGGCTGGCTTCCAGGTGATGAGGGCATGGAGGTGGAGCCTGGTCTGCCTCAGGCGGGGACTCGGTTTCCACCAAGAACAAGATCAGTAGGAGTCCAGACCTTTTCAGAAGCAAGCTCGTGTTCTGTATGGAGCGCCAGGAAATAAAAACGTCTCTCTTCTTTGTCCGTTAGTCCACCAGGAAGTAAGTCAAGAGGGAGATGTATGCTCAGAAATGTTCATTACAGCATCATTTGTGATCCTGAAACTTTGAAAGTGACCTAAGTGTGTGCTGGCCAAGGACAGTTCAATTCAGTTGTGGTCTCATCACGTGAAGATTATTTAGCTGTTAAAGTAGCTATGAAGACTCTTAAGAGGGAGTGTGCAAAAAGGAAGAGAAATAACGCTGTCAGCTGTGTGCCTTGTCACAGGGCACCGTGTTGCATCCTCACTGAAACAGCCTGAGGACGGGTTTAGTCTCATAGATGTTAGAGACCCAGGGCGTTCAAAGTCAAATCAGTGTGACCCCGAAGCCCATGCCCTTTCAGCTGTCACATGAAAAATTGCCTAAGCTATAATGTCAAAAGAGCAATGGATAAATTTTCGGAATATTTCACATGAAATTTATGGAAATATTAACTTTTAACATGTGCATTTAGAGTATGTAAAATGAGTGCAATCGCATAGCCCATTGTGAGCAATGTCTTTTCCTCCTTGTGTTTGTGAAATGTAATTTTCCTTTTGTAGTAAGAAAGAAGATAGTGCATTTTATGATGAAATGGTTCTTTACTAAAGTAGAACTGAATTTACACATACCTGTTCTGTCTCTCCCCGTGATTTGTACAGTGCCTTATACTGCACAGAATCATTCTTCCTGTGCTGTATTTAATGTACACTTCGTTGCTGGAGCATTCTTGATCTTACCAGAAGGGTCGGGAGGTTTTCACACAGCTCTGGCACAGCTGCCACCTGGCTGGCAGCGGTTGGAAGATGCTGTTCCGGTTTCAGAGAGGTTTAAGTGTGGGAGAAATGAGTCTTAGAATCTGCAGACATCGCCCATTGAAAAGGGAGAAGTCCATGTGGCCTAAGTTTTCTGTTCTAGTGTAACATGGAGTCGCTCCACTGCGCATAGGGGAAAGATCAGTTTCCAAAGTTTAACAACTAGGAGCCTCTCGAGAGTGGGGGTTGGAACTCAGGAAGTCAGCACTTGCAGGGAAGTCTATTAGAGTCTTTTAAAGGCTTTTTTTCTTTCCTTTTTTTTTTTAATTAACAAATGTCAGTGAATACCTTCTGAGCCTTTGAAATTTTGCACATATAAACATGTTGATCCACGTTGAAAAGAGGTCAGTGATGAGTAGTAAAAAGGCTGACTCCCCAGGTCCCCTCCTTGCGTCTTCATCATCCCCAGATGCCTCTCTCCATCCGGCTCCAGTGATGCTCTGATGGGCAAAGGGGCAGCTGACACTCCGTGAGGTCCCAGTTCTGTGTTCTTGGCAAGCCCAGGGCCGATGGCGTAGTTGGCGTCCCACAGCTTGTCACGAAGGGATTTGATTGTTGGCAGTGCTGGTATCTGTGGTTGTGATCGGAAGGTTCAAGCTGAGGCCTCTGATTGAAAAACCCCCAGGGAGGTTAATTGTTTATTTAAAGAGTCCTGATGTTTCCTTTTGTAAATTATGCCTGCAGGGAACCTGTCTACTCTGACTTTAGATAGGGAACTGACTTTCAGAGGCGCTGGGTAAAATCTAGGCTTTTAGAATTTTATAATTTGATATAATCCAGACTTACAAAAAAGCTTCAAGAACAGTACAGACAGGTGTCTGTAATAGAGCTTGTTTCAAATAAGTCCTCCCACTGCCCCTCTTTTTTTTGAGGATGGGGACACGTGGCATTTGTACTTCTAGTGTTGGACTTTCTTTTTCAGTGTTATTTGTGGTAGGAGGTTTATCCTCTTCCTCTTGATAGCTCACTTCTGGACAGCACCCAGAGATGGCTTTCTGGGTGTTTCCCCAGCGTCCTGTCCTCTCTGAGCATTCCTGACTGGATCTGGGGGCGTCGGAGAAGCTGACTCTCCCAACGTGGCGCCCCCAGGCTTAGCCTGGCCCTCTTCTCTCTCCCAGCACACACTCACCGGACACAGCGGCAAAGTGCTGTCGGCCAAGTTCCTGCTGGACAATGCGCGCATTGTTTCTGGAAGTCATGACCGGACCCTCAAACTCTGGGATCTACGCAGCAAAGTCTGTGAGGAAATTCACTCTCTCTATCTATCTGTATGACGAGACAGTATCCACGGAGGTGTTTGTTTCCTGTCAAAGCCTGCCTTTAGTGTGATTCAGTGGGAATTTCAAGTCCAGTTTCATGTTCAGAGTGGCGCTGGGGCAGTGACAGTGTCTCATGTCTGAGGCTTCATTCAAATGGGTGGTTCTAATTGCTCAGGGTCAGAGGGCGGGATGTTGTCTGCACAGCCATGGAGGGGCCTCTGCTTGATTACCAGTGTTCGGTTTTCTTTCAGGCATAAAGACCGTGTTTGCAGGATCCAGCTGCAATGATATAGTCTGCACGGAGCAGTGTGTAATGAGTGGACATTTTGACAAGAAAATTCGTTTCTGGGACATCCGGTAAATACTCAAGAGGTTGGTGGGGAGGCAGATGAGGGGGTCTGTACGTGGTACAACCATGATGATGCTTTGTATACGGGTTGTTTTTAAATTCCCCGGAAATGGCAGAAATGAGCTTCAGCTCAGGTTTATCTTAACCGTGTGCTGTTCTTCACCATGAAGCGACTGTTGCATTCCACGTCGCTTGTGAGCATGCACTGTGTACTTACTGGGCTCTTTCCCAGCTGCTAAATACACACAGTTGAACGACTCGGTAGGAGGTGCTTTCGATTGCAGTCTGGCAGGCAAGACACCCGGGTCTGCACAGTGTGCTGACGCAGAGCTGGGCTCCTTTGTCTAGGATGGTGGAGGGCGCCTCCCAGGATTAGAATGACAGGCAAGCAGCCTTCACGTTGCAGAAAAGCCCTGACAGACGTTCCCGACCGGAACAGCAGAGCCACCGGGGGTGGCTGGAGAGGGCACGTCAGGGCGGGCAGATGAGACTAATAGAGTGGGTTGGGATCAGGTTGCCACAGGCTTTTTGTGCCATTTGTAAATGACTTGATCTGGTAAGCCATTGGGTGTTTTGCAAAGGATGGCTCCCCAGAGCCAAGTGGGTTTGGTGGCAGTTTAGAGGGTGCGTTGGGGAGCAGCGATATGGTAAAGAGTGAGTGAGGATCTGAGCTCAAGGCAGTGGAGGGGGCATCAGTTGAGGGAGAATTTGGACGGGGCTTATTGAGAAGTTGGATGTGGAGGGTGAGGAAGGGGGAAGTAAAGCAGGACGGAGAATACAGGACACATGGGGGTGGGGTGCAGAGAGCGTGTTCAGATCAGGACATTAGTTTGTGGTTTCTAATAGATGTTCAGAAAAACAGGAGCAGAACTTTTGAGAGAAGCTGGATGGGAGGAAAAGATCAGAAGGCCTCAGTGAGCAGGAGGCCTTTGAAGACGTGGGGACGGCTTACTTGAAGACGCGTAAAGCCACGGGAGGCCAGCACTTAGGGAGCTGCCCCGGGAGGAGCGGCCAGAAATGGGAAGAAAGCGAGCCAGCCGGAAAGCCCTATGCCAGCCACAGTTAGGGGCGTGGAGGGGTCGGGTGGCAGGAGGAGTCCAGTAGGGTGAGGCTTCTTGGTTAGGAGATAAGTGGGTGATCTGATTGGCAGAAGAGTGGGGCATGAAGAGCCTGTGGTTATAGATGCGGCTCAGAAGGGCTCCCAGACACCTCTTCACGGTGCAATCGTAACCTTTGGCTAGCTTTTTTAAACCTGAAATTTGAACCTGAAACGTGGAATTTTGTAGAGTTAAACTGGATGTTGGGAGTCTCCTGGCCCACCCCTGATTTGACAGATGAACACTCTCTAGTCCCAGGGAAGTGGAGTGGCTTGCTTCCAGCCACGTGTTTAGCAATAAAAAGATAAACTCAGTTAAGGTTTGAGGCAGGAAATAATTTCGTTGAAAGCTTACAACAAAATGACTCTAGAAGAGGTCAGTGCGTCCTCTGGCTGTCTCAGCAACAGGGCCCTGCCCAGGACTGCTGTCACAGACCTGGTGAGTACTGGGGCCCAGAGGGCAGCAGGGAGAATGAAAGGAAGGAGATACTCAGGGTGGTGACTCTGCCGTGGAGTCGCAGGTCCATGCTGCGAGTCACTGAGCTGGCCTTGGAGGGCCCCTGAGCTGAACTCCAAATGGTAGGAAGCCTGCGGGAGAGCACACATCTTCCATGTAAGACAGTCCAGACCTGATCAAGTTTGTGTGCCTCCAGAAGGGTTGAAATGATGAAACTGAAATAGCTCTAATGGGATAGTGGCCATGCTTAGCTCCTGCTGATCAGAAGCTCTGATTGGCAGTTAATTGTGTCATTCCCAAAATGGACAAGGAAATTAATTCTTACCCAGTTCAGAGTTGTAGTATTCAAAACTACTACCATAGAACCTGTTGACAGGAAACTAATTAAAGTGGTCACGGACGTTATTTTTGTGAGGTTGGCGCACATTCCCCGCCCTTGAAGAGTATCGCGTTCTAGTTGAATTGCCTTTTTCCCTGCTTTTCTCCATGGCACAACGTCCTGGTTAAAATGTGAGAGTTGTGATCTTTCTCTGTTACATTTTCTCAGACTTTGCATCTCTTTCTTAGATCAGAGAGTGTTGTCCGAGAGATGGAGCTGCTGGGGAAGATCACTGCCCTGGACTTGAACCCAGAAAGGACTGAGCTCCTCAGCTGCTCCCGTGACGACCTGCTGAAAATTATCGACCTGCGGATAAACGCGGTCAGGCAGACCTTTAGGTAACTGAGGGCCTGCTGGTTTGGGTTTCACTTGAGGCCTGCATGATGGCCGGAGGCCCTGCCCCTGCCCTCACGTCCTGCGTGTGCTGCTCCCGGGGTAACAGTGCCCTGTCGTCTGTTTCAGCGCGCCTGGGTTCAAGTGCGGCTCTGACTGGACGAGAGTTGTGTTCAGGTTCGTGGTGCTGCTTCCTGCCCTGGCCCGCCCCCCCCTCCCCCCCCCAGCCTGGGTCAGTCCAAGGTTAGAGTGTGGGCATTTTCCCACGGGGGAGTGAGCTCAAGTACGGTGTCTCAGCCCAAGTGAGTGTCCAGGAGCGAACCTGTTAAGTTCAGTACTGGGGTCACCGTCACTGTCTCCTTTCTCTCTAGTGTCTCCTTGTTGTTGCATGAAAGTAAGTGTGTTGTACCAAAAAGTAGTGGGGGGCTGGCTGGTCAGTCTGGGGTGAGCACGTCATGCGTTTCTGTAAGCACTCTGAGAGCTCTTAGGGGAGGGGAAGGTTGCCGGGCCGAGCTGAAGCAGCTCTCTGGAGGGGGGCGGTCCCCGTCCTATTCTCCCTTCTTGCACACGTGGCGCTTCTCCCAGATACGTTGCCATGGTCAGTCCCAGTGTGCTGGAGAAGCTCCTCCACAGTCGATGCTTCCCTCCTCCTGTCCTCTCCTGCTCTTCACTGAACCTTGTCACCAGGCAGTCCTTGGCCGTTTGGGTGTTGACTTGATCTCCCTATGTGCCGTGCTGGAGTCTGATAGCTGGTTAGGGACTTGTGGCCTCGAGAAGTAATGCGGTGGCACCAATCTTCATAGCTGGGTGAGGCCGAGATAACAGGCTGAAGCAGCTTTGGCTGTAAGAGTCGTGAATAGCACGTTCTGATTTTTGGGTACACGAGAAGGGTCATGTGTTTGCCTCATAAATGAAGAGTAAACATTACTTCTTGGGAAGAGGTCCCTGAGGACACTGAATTAGGGACAGGCCATTGACCCTTATCTTCCTGTGTCCTCCAGCCCTGATGGCAGTTACGTGGCAGCAGGCTCGGCCGACGGCTCTCTCTACGTTTGGAGTGTGCTCTCAGGGAAAGTGGAGAAGGTCCTTTCGAAGCAGCACGGGTAAGATGAGCCCAGTTAGCCCCACTGAGGTTGTGAGCGGGCCCTGTGACTTCATCCCAGGGGCCATGTCCTCTTCAGGTGTGGGCCTGTGTCGGCCCCATGAGGGCAGTGTCTGCTCACTTGCTCTGCTGTGAGCCAGGCTGGTGGCGAGAAGCTGGGGCCTTCACACAGTACAACAGACTACAGTGTTCTGCTTATTTATGTTACAGAAGATTCCAGTCAGAGCAACACATTCTGTCCCTTTGACTGTATAGCACCTCTTCCCTTCTAAGTCCCTTTTCTCAGTAAATTAACTTGTCAACGGTGACTTTCATATACTTGTTTTTTTCATCTTCCATCTATAGCCAACCCCTTTTTTTTTCTTAGCTTTGTTCTGTCCCCGAAGCCCACCTGCTGGTTAGAATACAGACCCGGTTTCCTCCCTGACCGCCTCTCAGTACTCACACCCTTGTTGGAGTCCTGCGATGTCACTCTCTTAGTTCGCTCAGAGCTGCTCCCTTAGGCTAAACTCGATACAACCTGACTCCTTTTCTTCCAGAAACACAGTGCAGGGTTCCTTTGACAAGCCTGCCTCTGAGCAGGGGCAGTGCTGGCTAGCAAAGGGGGGCTGGCAAGAGCCCGACTCTCTGAGTGCGAGGGGGCCTGGTGTTCAGGTCACCAGGGTCTCACAGATGCTCCGACCTCTCCCTTCGAAGCTCATCCATCAATGCAGTGGCGTGGTCCCCGTCCGGCTCCCACGTCGTCAGTGTGGACAAAGGAAGCAAAGCTGTGCTGTGGTCGGAGTATTGATGGCACCTCCCTGGGAGAGAGCGGATCCGAAGTCGGAGAGACACATGGCCCTCCAGCTCTGTCCTGGCCGGGGGTGTGCTGGGTGTAGCCTTGACATCCAGAGAAGAGCTTGGGCCATGTGGTGTGGTGGCCTGCCTTGGCCAGGACTCCTGAGGATTTTGGCTGAGGCCTCTGATGCCCTGAAAGAATAGCAGTGAAAAGATCTGAGCCTGCAGCCACTTGCAGAGCTTCAGGCTCTTGCCTTGACTCGGGTGGGAAACACTACTGGCTCTGATCTTCCATACCTCAGTGGGGGGCGCACAGGCACCGCTGGTGTCCTCACTGGGCGGCAGTGCCAAACAGCCCGCACGGCCGGGTGTCGGGGCTCCCTCCGTGCTTCCTCCCGTCCTTCCAAAGCCAGCTGTGGCCCAGTGCATGTCCCGTCCCCCCAGGCCGTTCCCGTGAGCTTGCTTTAATCAGTGGACGAACAGAAACCGAACGCGCCGGCTCCTGCCCTCAGGTAGTCCACAGGGGCTGCCCTGACGTCTGAGGGGACGTGGGGTGTCGCCCCTGCTGGGCCGTGTCATTGTTACGAGGCTCTCACTCCGCGCTCATGTGGTTCCTGTTGGGATTCCCGTAGATGCCCTGCAGTGTTCTGGGACAGCGCCTGTTCTTCAGAGCTGCTGGCTCCCCTTCCCCCGCCAATTCTGCAGACCTGTTTCTTGGTCAAGACATAAGTCTCAGTTTGGTTAAAAATATTCTTTTGAGGTAAAGAGGAAGTGCAGAAACCTTAGTCCAGAGAAGTGGATGTGCTGCAGGAGTGAGGAGCGTGTCCGTGTCCATCTGTAAGGTCCCAGACGGTGCCCGCGCCACAGCCGTTCCTCACGTCCCTGCGTTCCAGTGCTGGTGACAAGGGATTTGCGGCCTCCGATGCGTTACTGTGGAGCCGGTGCTTCTGGGTCCTTGTCCCTTTGCCACCCACGTGCAGTACCCCCTTGATGCTTTAGCACAGGAAGCCCGTTCCAGGGAGCCTGGGCTGTCATCTGTAGGCTTCAGGAGTTGTGGCTAAGGCCGGGGAACAGCAGGCCTCTGGCATTTTCTAGAACATATATCTTCACCATTTTACCTGCATATGAAACTGTAGTTCCTTGAGTGACTGAAACACCAATATTTTTATCACTTTTTAGTTTGCACTTTAATTTTTTCCCTTCTAAACTCGTTCTCTGGACGGTTGTGGATGCACAAGCTAGGAGTGAGGGCGTGAGCTGCACTTCTGCTCGACAAGGGGCCTCGTCTCCCTTCTCCTCCTGCCCTCGTCCCCTTTCCTGTTTGCCATTCAGAGAACTCGAATTCACAGGCCAGGGCACATCTTTTATTTATTTAATTATGTTGCCCCACAGAACTTGATTGTAAATAAATAAAAAAGCTGTTATATACTTTTCAAACTCTATGCCTCCTGGTGGTGATTTTACTCTCCTTTATGCTTAAGGGGAAAAAAGCTGTTTCTTTCATTTGTTTTCCTGATACTTTCTCATTTGTAAATAATGCTTAATACTTTCCCAGTGTCTTCCTTTTCTTCTTCATTTAAGCCCAAGTTAAGGACGCCTGTAAACCTCAACATTGCAGCTCCTTGTCATTTGCAAATCTTCACTGAAACCTGCAAAGGATCTCCAGAGTTCCACCGGCCGGCCTCGGAGCCCGCACACTGGCGTCGCTCCTGCCGTCTGCTGCTCTCCACTGCGGGGTCACTCCCAGCCCCTTTTCGGGAGACTGCCCCGGCTTATGGTGAGCTCTCAGTGCCTCCTGGCCTCTTCTTTGCTAAGGGGCGTGGGTTACCTCCCTGAGGGGCAGTCTGTTCCTGGAGCTCAGATCTCACGAGCAGCCCCGTGCCGTAACAAATTAGGATCGCCCCGGAGTCCCCCAGAGACATGTCCCCTTCCGCCACCACGCTGTCTACTGAGGGGAGTCGGCTGAACCTCTGCCTAGCCTTGCGGCTCGAGTCAAGATTCGTGTGATCTGAAGCCACAGAGGCAGCTGGCCGCCCCCAAAGCTGAAGGTGCCCTTTGCAGTCACCTGAAGGAGGCGAGTCATTCTCTACGAGGCCCACAGCGAGCGTCGCAGCAGCCTCCAGTCACCCTGTTCTCTTTGAACTTGGAACGGGGCACGGCTGTGCTCTGCTGTTAACGGACATGTTTCCGTGTGTGATTCCTCCACACTTGACAGCTCTCTCCAGGTCACCCGACCGCCAGGGTTGAGCTAAAGGTGTGGGCCCCCGCCGCAGTGGAGTGTGACTTCCCTCCAGCTCATGGTCTTCACCCTCCCATCTGTGGAAACCATTGTGGACCCCACCCCATGTTGCTGCTTCCATTGGCCGGGGTGGGAGATGGGCACAGGAGTTTTAAATTTCCTGGATGACTCCCACATGGTTAGAGCTGGTGTGCTCCCTTGTGTTACTATATCTCAGAAGTTGAGAATTTTAAACCATTTTTTTAAATGAGCTTATATTCCTTAAGTCATTTCCCAAAATAGTGTGATAAGTGAAGTTGGATGTCTTATTCTCTTTTCTTTTTTTGGTGAGAAAGATTGTCGCTGAGCTAACATCTGTGCCCATCTTCCTCTATTTTGTATGTGGGACACCACCACAGTGTGGCTTGATGAGTGGTGTGTAGGTCCGTGCTAGGGATCTGAACCTGTGAACCCCAGGCCACCAAAGCAGAGCAAGCAAACTTAACCACTGGGCCACTGGGCCAACCCCAAGGATGCCTTATTCTTAAAGCACATGCTGTGCCCGCACTGCCCTTTATCCTTTAAATCTTGGAAAGGCCCTCTGCATCTCCACGTCATGGCACCCAGGAAGTTTGTGTGGACACTGGGGGAAATGGATGAAGCTGCTGTCAGCTGGGGGTGCTGACCCAAGCCCCAAGGGCAGGTTGGTTGGGAAGTTCCAGATGGCGGAGTGTCCAAGGTGAGCGGGCCTGCCTGTGAGTCTTCTCGTCTACAGCAGCACTGTTACCATGGGGAACTGGGCATTTTGGAATGTGTACTGTACTTACCTGGGAGAGGAGAGTGACCAGGACACACACTTGGTGCAAGACTGCCTGGGGGCTGCAGGAACCACCTTTCTGTTCTGAGGTGCCTGGGGGGTGGTGAGGAGCCTGTGGCTCTCAAGTTCTGTGAGATCTGAATCGTATCGCATCGCGTTTCACAAGTAGGGGGAAGTTTCACCGCCAAACAAGAAGCTGTTCTAGACTCCCGACCCCCAGGGGGGCGGTGGTGCTGGAGGTTGGCGGGGGGCGGGGCGGGCGGACGACACCTCCTGGGCCTGAGGGCCGGTGGGCCGCCTTCCTGCCTTCGCTCCACTACATCTTTTGTGTGCTGCTGGAAGTCCCACTCCCGCTAGACGTCCCACATTTTCAAGCCAGTCAACCTTGGACATCTCGGGTGAAGTGGAATGTGCCTCTTTCCACGGATTCTGTAAAAACACAGGATACGTGCTGCACTCCAGTGAAAGATCAGACTGATGCAGAGAACGACTCTCACCTGCCTCACCTCAGCGAGATTCCTCTCGTGCCTCGGGGAGCTCTGCTGTCAGAGCACGGCTGTCCCACTTCCATCGGGCCTCTGCGCCCTTCCCTTCCTCCCCGATCTGCTCGGTGCATGTCGCCCTGGGGTCTGCTACCGAGGGCGGCCAGATCCGGACCCGAAGGAGGCGGAGGGAACAGTGGTGATGAACCCTGGAGCTCCCGCTCGCCACCAGCGATTTTGCAAGAGTATATTATAACAAACTTCAAGCACGTCCTTTTCCCCCCAAGTCAGCACAGAAGGAACCCACACTGTCATTGTACCTCAGAATTCTCCGGAAGTCTGTCGTCCGCCATCCAGCGCAGTATTCACGTTTCCAGATTGCTTCAACAGTGTTTTTTATAATTGATTTGTTTGACTCAGGATCCAGTGAGCTTTTGCTGAATAACAGACTACCTTCAAATGTAATGATTTAACCATTATTTCTCAGGATTCTGTGGGTTGGCCAGGTTCCGGCTGCCTGGCAGAGGGTGGCCTCGTGTCTAGCTGGTGGCGTGCAGTCAGCAAGGGGAACAAGGTGACACAGCAAGAAAACAGGCGTCAGTGTGCGTGCACCTGTCACCCTGCCTGAGTCGCCTTTGTTAGAGCCGTTGGCTAAGGTGGGTGGCACGGCAGCCCCACCTCAGTGTGGGGACGAGAGGGAATCTTGATGGCCGTTCTGGCAGTTGGCCATGGTCCGTCTGCCTTCTGTCCTCCTAAGTCTTTTATTCCAGAGCAGTGTCTGTTGCTGACTTTTTTTGTCTTCACTGGATTCGGTTGACTTTCCTCGTAGAGGCAGTAAGTTTGGCTCCCCACATGGGAACATTAGCCCTGGGTGCCAGGCTTCCATCACTTTGCTCTGACCCTAGGACGTGGAGAAGAGAGTGGGTGACTTCGGGCCTTGGGCTTCTTTTTGCCAGAGACATGGATTCAAGAGAGGATAGATAGGTATGCTGTGAGCCAGGCCAGCAAGAAGACAGGCTGTGAAAAGTCTGGTTTCTAGTTAGGTGCCATGAATCCTGTTGTAGCCACCACCCCCTGCCAGGTTCCCGCCCAGGTGGTTCTGAGAGGTGCTAAGTCAGCCGTCTCAGGAGCAGCCCTACCCCTGGCGCCGAGCAGTCCTTGGCACAGAGTGACACTGAGTGAGGTGTTTATTTAGTGGAGTTGAATCAGCAAGAAACAAACTGAACAGCCCCAAGATAGCAGGTCAGAACCCTCTGAAAGAAAGAGAAAGAGGGAGAGGAGTTTAAAAAGGTAAGAAAAAACCACGTTAGTGAGGGTGAATATTGTTTCATAGACGTTTTGTTCTGTCCATATATGTGTGTATGTACTGGGTCACAGTATAAAAACTATTTTATACTGGTTTTAAATGTATTGAGTTGAAATTCACATAACCAAGTTAACCATTTTAAAGTGAACGATTCAGTGGCATTTAGTGCATTCCTAATGTACAACCATCGCCGCCTCTATCTAGTTCTAGCAAAAAAGGGTCTGTCTTACACTGGGATAGTGTCAGGTTTTTCTCTTTTTTGACCTATAGCGGTTGATCTATCTGAAGAAGAGCACGGGCCTTGTCTCAGTCGGCTCGGGCAGCCATAACGAGAGACCGCAGACTGATGTTGAAGCTACCGTTGAAGAGTGGCTTCAACATCAGAAATCTATTTCTCACGGTTCTGGAGGCGGGAAGTCCCAGGTCCAGGTAGGTTTCGTTCTGAGGCCTGCTGGCTTGCAGGCAGCTGCCATTACTCTGTGTGCTCACGGGACTTCTCCATGCACGTGGAGAGTGGGGACAGTGAGTGAGCGCCTCTGTAGAGGACACTAATCCTGCCGGGGCAGGGCCCCCCTCCATGACCTCATCCTCCCCTCACCGCCTCCTAAAGGCCCATCTCCAGATACCACAACACTGGGGGCCAGAGCTCCAACATGGGAGTTCGGGGGGACACAAACATTCAGTCCGTAACAGACCTCCAAAAGGCCTCTACCTGATTCTGCACAACCTCAGGAGGTTTCCAGATCCCACAGCCCACCCGGGAGCCTCAGAGTCAGCAGCCCAGTGGGTGGTCTACCCCACATTCGTCTGTGGAAGCAGCCTCATTGCCATCAAGGACGACTCTAGTGTCGGGGCCCCTGTGGCACGGTGGAGGGTGAGGAAGCCCCTGAGGCAGATGGGGGCCTCCCCTCCGAGAGGGCCGGTGAGAGCCTCCATCAGGATCCTTCTGCCTCCACTCTGCACGGGGCTCATCTTTTGAATGACAGGGCAGGCCATGGGCCACCCCCCCCCACCCCCGACACACACACACAGGAAGAAAAGGAACTAGCAGTGAGGCCAAGCTACCTTCTCAAGGTCACGGTGGATTCATCCGTGGGCCACGGACCCCCGGACTCCAGTCTGAGGCTGTTTGCCCAAGATGCTCCTGTGACACGGAACCTGGAGCATTAAGTACCATTCTCAGCACAATACGTCAAGCAGGGTGGGGAGAGGATCTCAACGCCCATGAGGAATGAGCACCTGTGTTCTCATCATGAAAGGTTCGTATTGGAAGAAACTACATCAATTTGGAGCAATGGAGAGAAGTAGAAGGGAGGCCCATTCCGTCATAATTTTCTCACGCTTCACACTGTTTCAAAGAAATGTGGTAGTGATTTCCCCACCCCTGGAAGCATCCAACAATTTCTTATTGTGGATGTTGTAGGCAAGATCCAAGCAAGGGATGGAGTGTGAACTAAAATGCCAGTTAAGGGTCTGTGCCTGCCTTGAGAACCCACAGGATTCCATTTATGATTTCAGATATTAACCAGCCCAGCCTTTAATAGCCCTCCATTTTTTAGGTCAACTGACAGAGAGGAACATGTTGCAGTTAAGGTGGCTTTTAAAAGCTCTAATTCCCT